CTGTTGCGAAAAGGTCTCTGCCTTGAGGAGCAACCTTGAGAAGTGACTCAGCTCAAGGGGAGATCGTCACCATGCAGTCACACTGCCTGGTAGGGAGAGCTCAGAGAAGGCTCACTTTGGCTGTCATACTCATGGAATAAAGTGGTTGGCTGGTAGTCAAACTGCATACAGTGGGAAAGGTACACATGAGACTCATTGTATCCACAACTTTCTTTGTTCGTTGATAAATCAGTCTTGGAAAAGCCACATGCTACTTGTGTTAACTGCATGATGCTCTTCCAAATTCCTGTGCACTGATGCTTACTATCCTCTTTGTGGGTTTCCTAGAGAAGTTCTTGGCCCAGATAGGGCTCAGGCCTTTACCAAACTACTGCTGGTTTGGTTAAAAGGTCAAGTGTATCTGTGACATTCAGCAAGCAGTAACTACAGAGGACTTCACTTAGCTCTCTCTGTATCCAAGTCTGGACTCCTCCTTTAAGTTACAGAATATCTGCAGGTAGAATTGAAGAGTATTCTACCTTCAATAGAATACTCTTGAAGGTAGAGAGTATGATGCATATAGATGCATATAGATTTGATGCATATAGATTTGTCCTGAACTACTTTATTTTGCCATAGGCACTAAAGTCACAGCAAATGCTCTCCATCCTGGTTCTGTCTCTTCTGAGTTGGTCCGGCATTCATTTGTAATGACTTGGCTGTGGAAGATATTCTCCTTCTTCTTGAAGACACCTTGGGAAGGAGCTCAGACCAGTGTCTACTGTGCAGTAGCTGAGGAACTGGACTCTGTGACAGGACAGTATTTCAGGTGGGTGAAAGCTGAAGAAGTGATACACTGTGGAAGGCTACCTTGTTGGCTGGGCAATATGAGAGTTACTCTCATTCTTCATTAAAAAAGGACTGGGTATGAGGCTGTCTAGTAAGACTGAGGGTGACAGATACTAGAACATTACCCCTGCCAGCTCTGTTGCAATTGTGTTAGAAAAAATCCCTGACCTGTGTAACACTTCATGCAATAGCAGGTCCTTTAGTGCCAGTACAGGAATGGCTGTCACATGGTCAGAGCTTTAATCTGATCTGAGACTTGGGAAAAATCACTTTTCTGAAGAACTGTTTAGTTAATGAGGTCACTTGAGTCAATTCTGGAAAGACCACTTCGGTTCTCTTTGTAGTTTCACCCCACTGGAGCAGAAGGGGCCTGTGCTCCCAGGTAGCTGTGAGGGCTGATGGAGCTGTAGAGCTAGGAGGTGAGATTTTCAGGTCTGGTATGTGACAAAATAATTTGATTCTCCAGCGTGACAGACCCACGAGCTGGCAGGGACTCCTGCTGGGATGCTTGTCACTCTATCCTGCAAACGGTCTTGTGTAGCTCCCACTACAAAACTTGTTATTTCTTGGCTACTTTGACTTACTCCAGGATTCTGCACAGTCATGGCTTTTCCCATCACCAAAGCTACAGCCTGGAGCAGTTCCAAATCATCATCATCCTAGATTTGAAGACTGCCATTTGAACAGATTCATATGTCTGTCAACTTCCCACTGGGTGTAGAGCACTGTAACAATCTCATTTTTTGGGAAATGAATGTGAAAATTTTTCTGTCTTCCCCTCACCCCCCTCCCATGGATGCCTTTGGAGCCTTTGTGTCTTTGCAGAGCTTTCCTCCTGTAATTCGTGACCAGATTAGTCTCTGTAATGACTTTGCCTGATCTTTATTTGGGAGTTTGTAGTATCTTAATCAGACTTAAACATATAAATAGATGTCTTAATCTTCCCTGAATGACTGTCCATCCCAGGATAAAAATGTAGCATTTTATGTGCTGGAGTACAGAAAACTGATGGATTTTAAACTCAGGAAAAAAGGGAGTTTTGGACTTGGTGGGAAATTAGTAACTTCAACAGTAATTCACAATTAACATTGGACTAGCCTAAAATCATTTTCACTTTCCAGGCAATAGAGTATAAAGCACAAGTACAGACATTAGGAAAGGAATTTGCATGCTACAGAAAGACAGGTAGAGTACACCAGAGTCATTTCAGGAACATCAAAGATTGTGCACTTGTTCTAAAAACACTGGGCTGAATGGAAACCTTACAAGATGCCATTTCCTCTGTGCTCTGAAACTCCCACTTATTGCACAATCTAGCATTACAGATGAGAACACAGGATCTCTATTCCAGACAGAGTGCTGAGAAGAAAGGAGCCACAGTTCAGAGGATAATGGAAAAGGGGATAACCATGCATGGTTATTACAGTGTAATTATTCTTGGGCATATCATGGGATGAATAGGATGGGATAAACAGCTTAGAATGAAGGGCTGTTTGAATGGCTTTTTTGTAGTGTTTGCTAGAAAAGGTGCCCTGAAGAAGCTTGGTTAGCCTTAATAGCCCATTTTAGTGGTATTAATGAGAATGTAAACTAAAGAGGTTTCTTTAAGAGTTAAAACAACAGATAAAATTAGACTTGTTCTTGGTGCTTTTGGGAGAGATTCTTCCTTAAAAGCTTTCCCATGGTGGCTTAGCACCAACCCTTGCTCATTTGTTGTGTAGCTTCCCACTGTTCTTCAACTGGTCTTGAACTAAACTGATAGAAAGCAACTCCCTTATCTTAACACAGACATTTCAGTGTGCTAATGCAGATGGAGATCTTTGACTTAACAAATTAAAAGAATGTTCCTCTTACAGTGATTGCCAGCCAGCATACATATCTCCACGTGGCCGGGATGACGAGACAGCAAGGAAGCTCTGGAGTGTGAGCTGTGAGCTCCTTGGCATCCAGTGGGACTGAGCAGCGCAGACCTCCTGTGTACCTGTGATGCTTCTCTGGGGAAGAGCACTGCTGAGAGACCTCAGGAGTAGAATGCTGTACTTCAGCTGCCCCAATGATGGCTCTATGGGCACAACCTACTTTGAATTTCTGGAATACTACACTTAAGAATTGAGATTTGTAAGCAATCACTCCCTTTTCCTAGCTGGAGAATTAAAGCACTGATACAGGGAGCAACCTTTGCTTGGTATCTCACACAGCAGCCCAAGGCTATTGTCCTCTGGCTTTAGAATAGAAAGGGAGGTTGGAGTCTTAGGTTTAGATTGTGAAGAAAAAAAAATTACCTTAAATAAAGTTTGATTGTGGTTTTTTTCCTAACAGCAATAATAAAAGGTAGGACTCTAAACTTATTACCTAAGGTTATGTTCAGTTCCTACAGTTTGACCTGGCAGAGTGAAAGTACTCTAGGATATTAGATTTTCTGGCAAGTAAATGCAATACAAATGCTCTCAAGCACAGAGAAACAGGTGTGGGCCTTTCTGTGCCAAGCAATAGGTAAAGTTTCTAAGTGGAATAATTTTTCTCTCTAAGTAGCTGGAGCCTAGCCACTGAGGTATCTTGGCCCTAAGTGCCCACTAATTGCAGTAAGTTCACTGAGGGCTGGGCATATCTTCTGAGAACTCAGGTCTCAATGCAGGTGACTGGGAGGTTAAAAGTTGCAGGATTGTCAGAATTGTGCATGGCCAAATTATCTTATTAAAGAAATCAACATCTCTCCTGTGAAACACTGAGCAAAAGATGGTGTAAAAATTGTCACAGTAAACCCCCCAGCTGCACTTTAAAGGACTATAGAACCTAGAAAAGAGACCAAGTGAGTAAAAAACATCTAAACTGTGTTAAAAAATATTAAACAGCTTCAGCTGAGACTTGAGCTTTAAATGACACCAAACTGCCGAGCTAAATAGCTGAAGCAGGAGCTGGGACTATCTTGGTATTACGGTTGAGCCAGCTACAGCACAGGAAGGTAAGACAAATCCTGCCATTTGTCTGCCCAGCAGTTACTGGCCTTGGCTGGCAGTCTGCCTGAGCAGGACCACACAGCTTGCACTTCCCCAGGGCAGCTGGGTCAGTCCACATTGCAATGGGATTGCTCCCTTGGAACTCTAGTGCTACTTGGTGCAAATTGCTAGAGTCTGATCCATAATCAGAGATTATTTCTGAAAGAGTTAAGCAGTCAGAGACCAAGTGCCACATCTCACTGGATTACCTTCTGCTTCTGAAAAAATGTCTGGAAATTTTTGGACTTGCATATGAGCCTGCAACTCTGACCAACTGCCAGTTTTGGAAAACAAATGCTAATTCTAATTTTTTCTGTCTGGATGTTATCTATGCAGATCAGTCCTGTGCTACCTCTGAGCAATACTAAATAAAGCTATTTTCCTTTTACAACAGGAGACCGTATCTTCTTTCAGAAATGTTGAATCAGTTTATTTGGTGTTGCTGTTATCTGCACCTGCCTTACTAATGTAGAGAACTCAATTCAGGTAACATTTCAGAGTCCATTGGTGTTCCTCCTTGTCACTCTACCTTTTTTCCCCCCCCTCTTTCCACTTCACCCTGATTATGTAGCTAAATCCACAACTACAATGTAGCAGTAGAATGCTACCTAGCATTGGAGACTAGGCTTGCTTTCTCTGTGCGATTCTCTGATCTTGAAAGTAGTTTTCAGGAGCAAGAGAAACCATTTTTTAAAAAGCAGAAAGTGTCTCTAGCGTGAAATATTTTTGCCCTTGCAGGTCAATTCTCTTTGCAAAGAAGTCTGACTGTAGATTTAACTTAAGACATATTAAATTACACATTTCCATAGAGAGACAACCACTCATTTTGACCTTGAGCAAGTCATTTATACTTCTCAACTGATCTGTAAAAAAATGAGGGAACTAAAGCTCATTTAGCTGTGTCAAAGGGAAGCTTGTAAGGAAGAGTTAGATTAACTAGCAAAGCTCTCTGAAGAGGATTACTGAGTACACGTATGAGGCTGAACTAGCTGCTGGGAGGACTTCTAAAGATGTGATGTTCCAATTGATCTAAATGTTGAGGACACTGTAGCAGATTTGGCATGAAAGAAAAATTATCCCCCTTCTAATTACTTTGCTAAGCCTAGCCAAAAGCAAAATGCAGATCTAGAAAGAGACCCCCAGCTATGCTGAGATAAAAATTAAACAGGAGATACATTAACAGTCACAATATTTTATTCTCTTTTATCACTGTAAACAAACCTTAGTCATTAACAGAGAAGTTCTTTTTAACTGGCAGTAGTCAATCCCTTTTTGCTGACAAAAATTCAAGCCCCCTTGATAATTCCACTACTCGTGACACAAGGCAGTTAGTCAGGATCAAAATTCCAGGTTCTGCTGGTATGAGAAAGATCCCTATGATTCTGGGTTAAGAACATCAAATTACAGCAAACACTATATAAAGTGCATCAGGTACAGTGCAAAGAGGTCAGGAAGAAAGGCAGGTACGGAACTGACAGGTCTGCACAGCAAACTCCACTCTCTGTGCTCTGTATAGCTGAAGGAACTCGAGCAGAAAAGAAGGTGTTAGCGGAAATGCAGATCTGGATACCCACAAGCAGTAAAACCTCCTCCCCATAATTAGAGATTTAAAAACGATTGAAGACATAGGTAGTGTCACGTTTTAGGATTAGCCTAACAGCTGTAAGCTGATGGAAAGCTACGTCAGTCTGGCCAAGGAAACAAAAGCTTTCATTAGTACTGCTCACTAATGAGATAATGTAAATCTGTGGTCAAGGGATTCTGAAAGCTCCATGTGGTCATTTCTGACCGCTTTACTCAGACATTTCTAGCTCTGCTCTGGTGAGCAGAGTGCCTCCAAAGAGAGGTGTTTGTGTCAGTGGGGCACTGCTCTTGAAACCCTGAAGATGGACCAAATCCTTTCCAATACCATGGAAGTCTGTTCTTTCATTACAGTGAGCTTGGGGTTAGTGCAAAACTCTTACTTGACAGTCTCAATTATTTTATGTAATAAAACTATTTACAATTCGGTTACACTTCAGAAAACCTGTCATTTCTTTTGAAGTAAACAACTTTTTAACAAAAAAGTGAATTAGTTTTCCTACTTCTGCTGAAATACATGTAAACAGTAAAGACAAACTGTTGTGGAATGCCATGTTTTGTTCTGGTTTTCTTTTCTTTGAAGGTCATACTACTGTCTACCACACTTCTGCCAATTTTTCACGTCCCAATCACAGTTGCAGGGAAGCAGCTGCTTTTTTCAGCATCCCTCATTACACGGCCATTACACGAAGACGGCTGCTTTTTTCATAAAACTGATTAACCTAACACTTCCAGAGCAAAGCCTGTCTATACAGCAGGTCCAGTTTGGTGTTCTATTGTACTTAACAGGGACAGATTATCCTGGTAATAAATAAATAAATCCCTGTGTGACAGGGATAGAAGACCACCTGTTAAATTTTGCCACAGCTTGCTTTATCAAATATTCTCTGCCATACCTGATGAAAAACTGTGGAAGTTTACTGTCAACTACTCAGTCATAAAGCTGCATGACAACAATTTTTTGGGTATTGCCATAGCAAAGAAAGAGGTACGTGATTTTTCAGATATTTTAAAGGCTTATTTTCCCTTTGTACTCCCCTTACAGCATATGCCCTTTATAGCTTCATTCATATAGTAAGGGCTGAAGTGCCATATGTATGGCACACATCACACAGTGTAACTGGTAAGTACAAAACCTGCTATAAAGAATCAGTTCCTACCTTTTCAAACAAACTAAAGAAACTGGGTATATTGTACTAGTGAAGGGAATAAAAAAAAAAGTAGCAATGGTTTGTATAGAGGCTTAAAAAATCTCTGAATTTTAGTCTTTGTAAGATCTCTCCAATCTTGAAAATTTTTACAGGAAACCCATAATCAGAAAGTTTATCCTCTAGGCTACATTGAGTTGATAAAATTTTTCTGTCCTCTCTACATGTTTTCTGGATTAAAAAAGCCCATATTATTAAGTTCAGTGCTTTTCAAAAAATATCAACCCCCCCCCAAAAATTAAAAACTAACAAAAAACAAAAACCAAAATCAGAAACAGAAAGAGAAGTGCTCTCTCCATACACCTAAATCCTTGCTTGTTCAGTTTGAAACTGCCTCCCCCACCTCTGTCAGAAAAAGAGTCAAAAAACACCCTGAGGTAGTGACTGTGTCAAAATACAGGACTGGCACTTGTAATTTAGCTCCCTCCCCACCAAAGGCACATTAGCAGCATCCATTTCCCACCAGCATGAGTCAAGAGACTTCCATTTTACCGAGAAGTACTGAACCAGAAACCTTTGAGCTGTCTTGAAGCCTTTTCCTCCTGTATGATGGCAAATGTCAATTACTTATTACTTCCTGGTGCCCTGGGCAAGCCGATTTTTCATCTTGGGCTGGTGCACAGAGAGCCACTGGGCACAGATGGCCTTCACAACGTCGTCGCCGCTGCTCTCGGCCAGCTGCCGCACGTGCTGCACCAGCTGCACCGCTCTGCCCTTCTCCTGCCTCACCGACACCAGATAGGCAGAGCGCAGCTTGTTACACATCACGTAGGCCTGGATCTGAAGCAGAAGAGGCAATCAGACCTTGGTTAGAAATCTGTAGTAAAGTAACTGGACAAGCCTAAGCGAGGGATTCATGGGAAATACCCAGTTCAAAAGTCTGTATTACAAGGTGGTGGTAGTACCATATTACTGAACAGAGCATGGCAGGAAGCAAATCCCAATGAAAAAGGCAGACAGACAGCTGTATGTTATTACATTTGTGTCTTGTAGAAATTCCTTTATTGTAAGACCTTGAAAATAGCATCACGAATCCTATCTTGTGCATTAATTTACCATATCCTCATAGCAAGGAGTCTAAACCTGTCATTTTCTTCCATTGCTGTTTCTAGAACAGCTCCCGTCTTTCAGTGACAGATCTTACAGAAAGGCACAATTAAAAGCCCATTTGTAGCAAGACAGAGGACAGTCACAAATCTTAAGATTTCATTCCCAGCTACGCCACTCAGGATCTACAAGAATCCACAAACACTGAGCCACAGCCACCTCTATAAACATGTATCTATAGTTCACATATTTATGTGTGACTTTCCAGTGGCTTGGGCAGCTGCTATGAAAGCCAGCAAAGAAACAAAGTCGTTTAGGCCTCACTTCCTCTAAGAGAAAAAAAATCAGAATTGGACAAGTTTTACCATCTAACCCTTGATCACCACAAAACAGTATAATCCTGAAACAGTAAGCTGAAATGGTCATCATTAGCTGTCTGCTGTTACTAGAAACTTGCATGCACCTATGTGAAAAGTTGAGTAACAAAACCAAAAAACCCACCAACGTGCCCCTCTGTAACACTTTTCCTCTCAATACAGCAAATGCCTAGCTCTCACTCTGAGGACTCTGAAGTTGCTAACGGGGATAGTACCAATTGGTACCTTCATGTCACAGCTCTACAGTCACAAACACCAGGGCCTTGAGGAATTCACTATGATCTCTACAATCTAGGAAGTAGCCTTCAAAAATCTGGCTTGCATGAAGATGAAAAAGATCGTGAAAGAGAACCCACAGGCTGTAGACCAAGACTTGGCTGTTCAGCTCTTGCTAAAAGAGTTCCTCTACTGTACTTTTACTTACCTTGTTTTCATCACTGTCCATATCCTGAATCAGATTATCGAGATCCTGTATCCAAAGAAGGGAAAAGTTGTTCACATTTAAAGTGACAATAGTCTGCAAATCTCTACCCCATCAGAGATCAAATCCCTGTGAACAGAAAGGGCTGCTGAGATCACAGCAGGTGGTTGCACTGTCCCAACTGCAAAGGCTACAGATGTAGAAAATACAAAAAAAAAAAAATTCCAATTCTTCCCTCTATCACAGCTTCTCCTGCCTTCCATGTCTATGGGGTATCTCTAGAGAATGCTATGAGCCTAGGAGTCCCCCAGGGACATGGCTGATGTTACATGAAATGAATTTGTAGGTTCTCTACACCCCAGCAGGAGTTGGGCCCTATGGCCCACCCCGACCCAAAGGGTGGATTGTGTCCCCTAACCTGATTAACAGAACAGTAGAGTGCAGCACTTTCCTTCACTGTGATGGGAAAAAACCTGTGGTAGGCAAAGGGAATCATAAAATTGTCTCCTATGGAGGCAGAAGGTTTCTGCCTTGACACATTCTCTGTGTTAGCCAGGGAAGCTTCACTGAAGGGAACACCTCCCACTCCAAACAGCAGCATTTGGCAGGATGCTGTGAAGCAAAGGTTCTCTCCCTACCATGGGTATTCATTTGGGAAGTGCAGGGTAGGAGCATGATACAGCTACTTCTTGTTTCCTCTCGGAGTACCTTGTATAAGGCAAACCATGCACTCCCATCTTTAAGCTATGCACGAAGTACGGAGCCAGAAGATCTGAAAAACTCACTAGAAGAGCAGCACAGGCACCAGATTTCCCTGCAGGCAGTATTATATATACCCATTTTACTTCAAAAGGGACACAACCCAGGATGGAATTACCTCAGCGGGAATGTTCTTGAACTCATTTAGACAGTTCAGGATAATGTTATCCCCATCATTTTTTGCTGCCACTCCAGACTCATTGACACACTTCAGGAGCTGCCGGATCTCACTGTACTTCTGCTGCTTCACCAGCTGCTTGGCCACTTTGCTGTACACTTCTGTAGCCTCCAGCTGGAAGTCCTAGAGGTAGTTGGAATAGTGGAGCAACGTGTTTAATGTTCTCAGCAGGTTTTCTCACAGAGAGTCTATACAATTGAGACAATCTCTCCTAAAGACAAAATAGCACACCATGCTCCAAAAAGTCAAAGCTGTTTTGGGAGCCTCTGGTCTTCCAGTCACTAACACTCAGGGTTGGCTGAAAGGTTTTCTATAACCAGACTGGTAAAAATCAATTTTGCTTAAGAACAAGAGCGCTGTTAACGCTTTCTTTTCAGGGTGGCAAAAAATCAGTTTTATTTCTTCTGACAAAAGATCTTTCCTAGGTCTCTACCCACCTCTCCCTCATTTAGTATGTTCCCACTACATTTCTCCAGCCACTGACCAGCAGTCACCCTTTGTGTACTCCAAGAAACAGGAGGCAACTGACCATTGTACATATGAACTGACCAGCTCCCGTATGAAGGAAGAGATGATAAAAACTGCAGACTGATCCTGCCATGAATAAGGCAAGAAAAAAAGGATGGAAACAGAAGCTATGCTGGGCAGCTAGATTCGCCGCTCCATTTTTACCGGGGCGTAGTGACTGCTGCTGCTAAGAAGTGCTATTTTTCTAAGGCTCTTCATCTCACTACAAACAGGTGTTCTGCCTTGTACATCGTGACCTGAAAGAAGGAGCAGGGCCTGCCACATCCATAAATACTCTTTCCATGTGCCACCTCTGTCCAAAAGTGGCCCTCCTCTACCATCTTACCATATGGATAAAAAACACTCTGAAGACTTAGGAGGCTCATGAGCTATGCTGATTGATAAGTACCTCAACTTCTACCCAGATATGAGGAAAGAGAGGTCCCCAGAGAGTTTCCAGTTAATCAGCTTTGCTGTCTCAAATCAGGAGAATAGTACAGGCATAGCCCTGGCCTTATGTACTCATTGTGTCTTTGCATGGCTCTCATGAACTGCAGAGAGCTACTATGTCAGAGCTCCCCACACACATCTATGAGTGTGGTTTGCCAGCGTTAAGGCACTGAACAAGGTGCACAGCAAAGGAAAAGCTGTACTTAATTCCTTTGTAGGACCCAATTAGTTTGGACATGTCCTACTGAAGCAGCATCTTAATCTCCTTACCAAGTTTCCTCCAATACATGGACATATAAAACTTGAACTTGTGACTTTTCTTCACAGGAGGTTTTTTATGTTGGGGTTTAAAATACATTTTGGGAAAAAAAAAAGGGCTTTTGTTTAAACAATTGCTACTTACAGGAGTCACTTTGTAATAATATTGCTTGTTATATCAAGCTTTTCCATACCTGGAGAACTCTAAATGCAATCCCAAACCCCTCCTCAATGTTTTTGCCTTCCAATATGACCTGAAAAGAAAGGCACAGACAAGTCTGGGGATGCACATGCCTTTTTCATTACATACAGTTAAATAATATTAATGCAAATTCAGATTTTGCCCAGAGGTCAAAAGACAATGCATTACTTCAACAGGAAACAGCACCATCCCAACATGTACAGCAAATATAGGGTCTACTGTCACACATACTGATTGATTCCCTGTGGGATGTTAGGCAACTTAGAGATGGAGATGAGCTAAAGTTAGGAATGGTTAGAATAGCAGCAGTATTTGCCTTGCTTCAGAACACAATAGGATGTATAGTCAAAAGGCATATTACTATTTGTATTTGGGATCCTCTGCCTCTGAAAACTGGAAGTTTGAGGAGAGGAGCTCCAAGTTCTCATGTTCTCTGCTACTTTGAGAAAAATCATGAACTTTTCATAAATGATGGGTTGCATGCATGCATAAGTAACCTGCCCATGACAAACACAACTGGCTGCCCCAGCCATCAAATGCTTCAACCTTCATATCAAGTTAGTATTGTTGAAAGAAAATAGAGCTGTCTTTAAAATAGCAGTAAGTACCTTGCAAGCAACATCCATTTTCATGTTATTGTTTCCAAAGAGTGTGGGCAAGGAGGAACCTGTCATTTGAGATGTTCCTGAGCTCTCACACTGATGCAGGAATTTTGTTACTTCCATCTGCAGATCAACTGTATTGATGTGCCTAGAGAGTGAGAAAATTCTGACTTTATTTTGCAATAGAGAAAGTGTCAATTATTAATTATGTGAACTTACTAATTTTTTCAAGAAATTTCAAAAGAAGATATAAAGAATTATTTTATTTTTTGACTTCGTCTTTTGTGCAGCCAAGTCTGCAGCAATGAGATTGCCTTTCAGATCTGTGTGCTTAACATACATGACAAGCTGAAGTTAAGCAATTGTTCACATTATTTCAAAGAAGTGAGCCAGACAATCTGGATTCCAAATAAATATCCACACCCACTTTTTCATTTCATCACACACACTCCCCCCCAAGTTTGTGTCTAGCCTAAAAAAAGAAAGAAAAAAGCCCCTAAGGAAACCAAGATATAAAACTTCAAGTACATGAGAGTTTTGGCTAAATTTACACTTTGATTTTTGAATACAGGGATTCTATTATCTCTAGCACCTATAACTTGTGCATAGTTGAATGTTGTGAGTTAACTCCAGTAGACAGCTAAGCACCATAAAGCTGCTTGCTTTTTGGAGAGAAAAGGAAGAGAAAAAGAAAAAAAACTTGTAGATTAAAGTATAATTGTCTATGCACTGTACAGTTTTTGGTTTTTAAATTAAAGGAAGATAATCTGATACACAGACATATTTTTAGTAGAAACAATCAACAACCTCCTGGGTTGGGTTGTCGGGGGAAAAAGTGATGGGAATCCTATACTTATAACTACATAAAAGTCAGATTTGGGTCAGGCACAACCAGCACACGTTAGCTAAAGCCAACTTAAATGCAACCAATAAAAAAAAAGAGTCTAAAGCCTGAATTTCCCCTCTCCTATAGCTCAACTTTTTGCTTATAGATACCTCGACACATCTGTAGCAGACATTTTCTTCCGAAAAGTGAATGCCATTTTTTTCCTTCCTGAACTTCTTGAGACCTCCTGCAGGTAGACTTTGAGGTGGTCCTTGATCTTTAGAAGCCACGTCTGTTTTCCTCCCAGTTCAGTGTAAGACTTTGCTCCATGAGTGAAAAATCTAATGCAGGTCATGGCAGCACGGACGTGATCCTAGAAGAAATGTACTGCAGATCAGATGGACCAAACTAATCGTTGTCTGTACTAAAGCACTCACACAAAGCAGGTAATGCTCTGTTTTCTTCTAAGCACAGTTAAGTTACTGCAATGTGTCAGATCTATGGCACAAACAGCAGGTCAGCTTCAGTGAGGCTCAGCCTTTCTATCTGTTTTTTAGGACTGTAAAGTAGCAAAAATATACTTGTCCAACACAGAGATTTACACCAAAGTAAATGACCCAACAGTATTCAACATTTCACTGAGAAAGATGGCACTGTCCCTCAACTTACCTTCATGAACTGTTGCAGCTCATACAGAATATGGTAATAGTTCTTTCTTTGCAAGTGTTTGCAGGCTGCAATCAAGTAAACTCCCCAGCTCTCCAATCCTGGATCAATGGTTTCCAGTAAGTTCTCCAGCATATGCAGTTTTCCACTTTCATAACTTGGAATGAAGATCCCTTCAATAAATACTTCTGATGGGGATTCCTACACAAACAAAAATTAGCTTGAAGCATAGCCACTGTAGCTTATTTTCCTTATGTAACATAAAGGAGTATTAAGTGACAGAGATCATAAAATTAATAACTAATTTATATTGAAAGGAGTCTCTCGAGGTCATTTTGTTCAAAACACCACTCAAAGAATGATTTCCAAGTTAGGTCACATTGTTCTTGGACCTGTCCAGTTAAGTTCTGAGCATGACAAAGTAGGGTGATTCAAGAGCCTCTCTGCAGCCCAGTTCCCATGTCTAAATACACGCACTGAAAAAAACCTCAAAACTTTCCTTTATATCCAGTTGGAATCTCCCTTGCTCTTACCCTTTTACTGGATGCATGTGAGATAAGCATGGCTCTATTTTCCCTCTAATCACCCACTTGGTAGCTGAAAACAGCACATAGATCTCCTCTTGCCTCCTCTTCTTTCACCTGGAAAAACCTGGCTCTATCACTCTCCTCTCACATCATGTGCTTCAGGCCCCCAGCCATTGGTGGCCTTCCGCTAGACTTGTTCCACATTGACAGTGTCTGTTTTGTACTTCAGAACCCACGACTGGGCACAGTAGTCCAGTTGAAGCCCCACAAGTAGTGAGCTGAGGGGGATATTTACTTCCCTTGTTCTCTTGACTGTGGTCTTGCAAATGCAGCCTCACATGTGCTTCTTTTCATAGCAACATTAATATGTGTCAACATGGCCTGTATATATGTTCTAAAAACTTGATATGACATTTTTTTGACTTTTTTTGTTTTAAATCTCAGAATAAGATACAAGTACACAAATGTTTCCAACCAACTGCAAAATGTTTCATCAGAAGCTCAGTACCTTACAGCTTCAGAGTAACAAACTCTGCTCTCTAGTTTGCATGATCACTACCAGTTTCCTTGCCCAAAACTTACCCATCAAATTGTATGGCTAGAGAATTTTTTAAGTCTACTACTTAACCAGTAAAATTATGTCACCAACATTGCAAACATAGGCAATTTTTTTAAAAAGCAAATTTAAATTGGTATAAAGGACATATTTGAAAGGCAAATTTTCCATGTCCTCTGAACTGTATGACAACAGTCCCATGTATTCAGCTTAATAGAAAAAAAAGACAAAGTGCTGTTGATGCAGAACATCTACGAAAAAAAAAAAAAGCAGTTTTCTCCTCTCTAGAAACTCCTGTTTCAACACAACGTGGAAGAGAGATTAAACACAAGATATAAAGATCAAAGTTGTTTTTTCATGTGACTGAACTGTCAGTCACTGGATAGTTTGTATAACAACATTCAGGACCTCAGAAAACTCCTGTGCAGAAAACTACCAGAACACTACATGACGCTCATTACCATTTTTCAAATTTCAGTTTCAGTGATGGCAAATTAAATTACTCACCTTATTTAACAAGTGAAGCAGTGCTTCTCTCATACAGTCATGCCTCATATAAAAGCTTATTATTGCCAGATTAGTGCCATAACTATGTAAATAGAACAAGCACTCCTGATAGTAGCTGTTGTGTTGAATCTTCCCCTCACACATCATCTCCAGAGACAGACTTCTTGTTCTCAGTGTTGCTTCAAGTTCCCTCAATGTGGCAAAGTAATCATCATCCTGCCGTTAACACAGAGAATCAATGACAAGTGGTAAGAGAAAAATTTTCTTCTCAGTTAGGTCTTGTCACTCAGCCCTAAAGCATTTCTGTTATTGTTGTTTTTAAAATATGTATTATTTTAGAGGGATGAGAATCCAGTCATGCTTTTCATAAACACTACATTGGAACCCTGCTATCAACAGAGGTGCTGAATGTTGCTGTAGCCATCATGGCTGTTTCCAAGGACAAGCAGAAGGCTTATTTAAACACAATTCCACTGCCTACAGCTACTTAATAGCCTAGTTCAAACTGGCTTTTTCATTCTCCTAAAATATGTACTACTAAGTGTTCTTTAATCATTATGATTCTGCAGTTATTTAGATCCTAAAAGTAATTTTTTGGTCCCTAATCCGGACTTCCAGAGCTAATTCCAAACCATGTAATTGTGTTTTTTCATGAGAAAAGAAGAGTGGACAGCATTTGAAATTCTCCTTTGGATTCCTGCAAAGTTATCAGAGTTTCGGTAGAAAAACTGCATCAGTGTAGAATCACAATATGTTGCAGGGATTGAGTTTAGCTTCCTCAAACTGTCGTAATAACATGTTAAGCAGTACAGCTTCTTTCCCCTCCACAAAGTATGCCCCAAATTACTATCAAATCCTGTGATGAAACACCTACAAATTTTTCAACAGTATTCGTTTTGCGATTTGCAATCATGACAAAGAAGGAAAAAACCCTAACACCTGATAGTGCAACATGCATTGCTATAAGATGTGTATTAAAACATCGTTACTTGGCTTTGCTATAGCCCTTCAGAGCAGACAGAAGATTCTTACTGCAATGAGTATCGGCTTCACTGTGGCCTCCAGGTACTGTATCACATCCTGGACAAGCCTTGAACCATAGTTCAGCTGGTTTAGGTCCATAGGTGGCTTTAAACATCGGTTAAACTTCTCTCTTGCTGAACTTAAATTTCCAGCTTTAAGGCAAGCCATGCCCCAGGCATGCCATGCTCCACCTGGATCCAATCCAGATTTTGTAGAAACCTAAAATCAAAATAATTCGTTATTGCAAATGATGTAAAAATGTAATGCAACACAGTCCCAGCACAGAAAATAGGAAAACTGGCTTATCATACAGTCTGTGATTGTGACCTTTCACTTCTTAGAGTGCATTTCCCATTAAAAACAAACAACAACTAAAAAAACACATGAAAAACTCCTGCTGATTATTACCATATTACTGGCACAAAAGGCCAACTACCAAAACACCCAGGATCTCCAAATGTGGAAGTATTTTTTATCGTACAAGTTTATCTGGGAATTTCAGTTCATCAGTTTTAAAACATGACATTTTCACATGTGCTTTTCTAAAGCACATGATTTTTACAGAGCAGAATTCATCAGGTTTGTGGTTTTAAAAAAAGCAACAGAAGATGCTTCATGAACCGCCAGGATATTTTTTATTTCATACAACTTTGTTGATAAAATTTATTCCTGATTTTCTTCAGTAGACCAGCTGCTGTTAAATATGAGCAATTTTTATTCATATAGGTCATCTATTTATTAATATTTTTTATTCATATAGGTCATCTGTTTATTACCCCTTAAAAAATCATAATCCTGTTTGTAGAATCATAATACTGTACTTAACAAATTGCAATGCCATCATACAGGATTACAATATCCTGGGAGTAGGAGGAAGATAGAATATGATAAACTACACCAGATGAACTCTGATGCACTGATTTGTCAACACTGCTGATTTCCAAGTCAGAAAAGGTGCCTTACTTTTGTCTGCTGTGGGATTACAGACAAATAAAATCAAACATACAAGCTTCAGATAAAGTCCTGCCACAAAGGATGTCTTGTTCCTTCTACTGGATGCAAAATTCCTCCATTTAATGACTTTCTTGCAGTTAGTCCATTCCAACCTTAACTGTCCCAGGAAGCAAGGTTGCTACCTTTCCCTTCTGCAGCCTGCTCCACAGCAGGATTTTCTCTTCTCAGAAATTTTTTCTCACATCCAGATAATTATTTCTTCCTTGTCTACAAACTTAATCTCAGTTTGTAACTGTTTAAATATTGTCCATTCACACATCATATCCATCTGAATTCAGGAGGGAGAAAAACAGAAGCCAGTACAGAGGCATTAACACTGACATCCCTCCATTGGCATTACCTCTACAGCTAGTTGATAGTACTCTGCTTCCAGAAGCTGATTTCTTAATCTTGTTACTGCTGCTGGGAGAAGAATCTGATCCAAAGATGGTATAGGACGGTAGGCAGCAGCAACCAAAATATTCAACACATCCACTTTGCTGATGTAGCTAGAGGTTAAACAAATACATACACTTTCACTATTATCATACAGTAAAGAACTTTATGTCAATGACATCTCTTAGAACAGCGGTTCCTAATCACCAGTATATTAGGTTTCTCTATCCATCATACTATCCCATTCAAACCACTTGTTATTGTTTGGGGTTTTTTTGCCATGTTCAGTGTAACATGCTAATTGCAGACACCATCTCAGTCTTGCCAAATCAAAACAGTACATGTGAAATTTATATATTACACCTGCCACCTCAAGTTCTGTAGGACAAAACTTGAAGAAGTGTAAAATGTTCATTCACAGGAAGCACAGGTTTAAAATCCTGTATTAAAATATAGATTGAAAGCAGATACACAATATCAGAAGTGAAATATTTATCTTAGTCTTTGTGAATCATTTCTTCCTAATCAGAGAATTTCCTCAGTAATTATTAAGTGGTCATATTACTTGAACTTCTACTATTTGAACTCTTATATTATTATTACATTATGAACTTCTTGTTTAAAATGTCCAAAGTACAAACACAAAACAACCCTCCCACCCTCCACTCTCAGTGAAAAAGGATAATGCTCTCAACAGTATCTCAATACATCCTAGTGAACAACTGATTAAGTCACCTGTCACAGAGAGCTAGATCCTGGCTCCTTCCAGCTTTTACAAACATCATTTTGGCACTGAAGAGCAATTGTTTCATGATGTCCATAAGGAGACCAGCATCCACCTCAGGATTAGTGAGCCCCTGGGACAACTTGCAGCAGTGTTCTATCAGTTGGTGGCCACACACTACACTGTCACTGTGCAGGCTAAGGATGGCAATGCACAAGGAAGAGCTGGGAGCCTGACAATTTGAGGAAAGACAGACAAATATAGGTATCGAGGTAGTTCTCCAGGGAACTGCTTATACTGCATTCTCTTTCTCACCTGTTCATAATAAAATTCACTGCGTACAATTTCATTCTCCTCTTCATTCAGGGAAAAAATCCATTCCAGCTCAGTTGCCTTGGGTGTTCGCACTACTGTGGAATATTCATTATTAGAAGTTTCTGCAGCAAAAAAGAAAACACCAGGTAAAATCCTTGTACAAGAAGCAAGAAACCTGGCTAAGGACACATAACACAGAGTATTCCTACACTGTCCTGCAACTGCTATCTATAATCCTCTCATTGTGTCACTTCCTACCAGCATTACATGTCCAGCACACAGATTACAGAAATATTTCCATTCCTCAGCAGGCTGCCAAATTGTACCTAAACTTACTATAACTATTACCAAAACCTGGTTCCAGTAACACATCTTCAAATGATTATCCAACTCTCTACTGGGCATCAAGCGCAGGAAACTCCACTCTTTAGCCTTCCCTCAGACAACTCATTAAATATTTCTGAGGAGGCAAGTGGAAATATGAGAGCTGTGGGTTTTGGCTCAAAAGGGAAACAGAAAAACAGGCTAAATTGACTTAAAACTGCTTCTATCTTCTATAATTCAGGTTATTTGAACATATAGTCCAGGAGTTTTAAGCCAAAAGATTGTGAGAAGATGACCTAACTTCTAATGTTAGATTTTCAAATAAAACAGCACTGCAGAAAATTGGAGTTTTGACCAAATGATTCAAGACATTTAATTTCTGTGAAAAGTCGTTTTCTTTCCTGCAGATTAAGGAAATATCTGTTTTGAAATTCATAACCCAGAATAGCTTCAAATCAAATACTGTCTGTCATCTGAGTGTAGGCATCAGATAAGTCAGAAAAGCAAAATAAAACTCTTTCCCTGTTAAATCTGAGGATTTCCACATTGCTCTTATTCACTCTTATTGAACGGATCATATAGGTCCAGTAACGTGTAGAAATGCTGCAAGCTAAGAGAAAGATCTAACCAGAAGCAACAGCTCAAAACCTGCATTTTAGCTGTTTCAGTCTTGAAAGAAAGGTAGCAGTAACGCAAACTTCCATCAACAGCAGGGGGAGAAAAATGCTCAAATAGTCCATCATACTTAAAAAAGGAACAAGTGAGGAAAAATATTCTCATTTGCTTTGTAGCACACACATGAATGCAGGTTTTGCACCATGTTTCATGTCATTGTTATAACTTCAAATAACTATATCTTGTTCTGACAGAATTTCACGTCACTGTAGGAAAATTTTGCAGAATGACCTCAAACACTAGAACAAGGAAAAAATACAGTAAATACCTTCTGGTATGGCAGAGAAAAAGTCAATTAAATTTTGTTATTATTCCTGACACTTTATCATACTGGATGTGGAAACAGACATTAAAGAAAAATTACTATATTCACACAACCAGCACAAGAAATGGAACTCAGGACACAACCAGACCCATGAGAGGGGCCTCATTCTGTGCTACGTCCAGCCAGTATGGGGTATAAAACACCACAGCACACTGAGTAGTATTCAGAATTGCACTGTCATGGTTTGTAAAAAGAGAACCACTCAGAACAGCTCTGTAGTGGGATAATTAATTCCTACTCATACCACAGCCTCTGACTGTTTCTAGAATGCAAAGTGCATACTCCAATTGCTGTTTTTCAGTTCCTTTCTTTTACACCCATCCAACACATTCAATATTGGCTCGGACATCTCCGCTAAACCTCAATTTACGGAAGTTTGAAATGCTCCTTTCAGCCTGTACATGCAAAAATCATCAGTGATATTATGTAACTGAAGTTTTGATCACTCTTCAGCTGCAACTAGATATTTCTAGATGTATTAGCTTCCAGTTTCTAACTGCTAATGAGGAGCTTTAAAAAATAGAGGTTTAACATTACTCCATTCCTTACCTTCCACTTGGTCCTGATCTTCTTCTATTCTGCAATAAAATGACAGAAAGAACCATCATGCCTACTTCAGCACACTGGGGGAAACACAGTTTTAAAAGACATTACTGTGGCTAGCCTTTTCAGAACACTGTTGTGTAAAAATATAACATCTATTCTCCTCCCTGTCCTATCCAACCCACTGCCGTGCCACTACCCCTTCTGCCTGGAAATCTAAGATCCCACCTCTGCAACTGCACTAAGTAACTGGCTCTTATGACCTTCTGTAGGAATAGTACTATAGCTGCACACATCATAAAAAAGCAGACACTGAGAACGAGAACTGCACAGTACTAGGATACGTCAGAGCTAAAATGAAGTCTTTGGCATCTGGGTCTCTGTCTTTAAGATGCAGTTGGTTTTGATACACAAATATGGTGAATATAAAAAACCCCAGGCATTAATGAATTAAAACATGACAGGTGGTATTCAAGCTCACAGTTAGGCTCTGCTGACCTAATATGGCAGCATAAGCAACTGTTCTGATGCAAACTGGTTCAGCTAGAAGTAACTCCTTGTTTTTTCACAGGTTCCTCTTCAGATCTGCACAGTATTGCTCTTTTCCTAGGAAGCTGGCTGATACTGCCATAGTGGTTACTGCTATCTGCAGGCTTGCTAGGAAAAGAGGAAATGCACCTGAAAGCATGGCTGGAAAGAGCAAATCTTACTCTGTGACCCTGTCAAGCCTGCTCAAGGTCACAGAGAGTAAAACTTTTCAGTTGCACTTCTCAGCAGCTGACCTACATACAATGAATTTCAGTCCTATTCTCAGTTTAAAGCAACCACATCATGAAAATATGTCATCACAGCTGTCCCTTTTAATAAAGGCAGTTTCAAAGCCTATCTAATCACGAACTTGCTTTTTAGTCCCCAAGGGTTCAAGGAGTCAAAATCAAGGGATTAAGGAATAACATTAAAACACTGATATGTTCAGTAGAGCTTGTCAACATGCAATGTTAATCCAGGAACGGAGTATACCACAAGAAACTTTGTCACACTGTAGCAGTATGTGCTATGTTTTGCATCAAAGCATTCAATTCTTAAGTTAATAATTAATTGATGCTTAAAGAATTCAAGACTTGTCTTGCTCTCCAGTGTCCTTTCTAATGTGAAAAGTAAAGTGAGGCGTAAGGAACAGTCCCACACCTATTAAACCTGGAAATCCCAACAGCTGGAGGCCAAAAAACTCATGTTATTATATTATCCAGATAAACCAAATGCTTATGCCTCTCTCATTCCATTCATGTACTCTGCTGTGTACATGTAACTGAGGAGAACTTGAGCAGAAAGACTCACCGGCTTGTGTCTTGCACCGAGCCAGGCAGACCTTCTCTGTTGCAGTAGCCATAGCACTGATCACACACACGAGACAGATTTTCTCTGCAAGCTTCTACTGCCATTTTCTTGGTGGAGCAAGAGCTGCACACCAGCCTCCCACAGCGCCTGCAGTGATGGCGCCTGTTAAACTAAGCAAAAGAGGTTATGGATGAGCCACAAAAAATTTACTGAAGTCCCCTCCTGTATCTATCTCCACTCATGAGAAAACTTCCTTTGAAGAGAGGAAACATCATGCAGGATAAGGCTTTTCAGAACTACACAGTGATTGATTCTCCCTGTTACAATTCCTTTCTGAAGAGGGCATGGCAAAGAAAAAAAACCAAAACCCAAAGGCCAGTATTTAAAATACGTTTGCTGCAGTCTTGGGCTTTCCATTATTTAAATTGTCCCAATTTTTATCACAATCAGATCATCTCTTGGAAAAGTCAGAAAGCTGTAGACTGTTTTTCTGACACCATCTTAGTAGTTTCAAAATTCAGAAGCAACAGCTACTTTGAGAAAACAGTACTGTTTCTAAGCAGTAGAAGATAACAGACTGCCTGCAAGATTAAAAATTAATCTTCTCCCTTAGAGTACCAATGCAGTTGCTTAAATACTCTGAAACAGTATGTTTTAGAAAAGTGCAACCAACAGCAAAGATTTAATTTTCTATACTGGTAACCTGAATTATATGATGACCATGGTATTTCTTACCAACCAGCACAGTCAACTAGACAGCCTTTTGAAATATTAATACTGCTGTTGTTACACATTTTTGAGATGTCATAGTTGTCTTCTCTCTGATGACCAGATCCTCTTTAGGCTCTATCATTTCACAGAACTCTAAAAGGAGCTAACTGTTGCCAGTCTCCTCAACTACACTAAATTGAAACTAAAGGTTAAATATCAAAGGACTGGCAATCTTATCAGGCCTATGGTGATGCAGATAACCTTGCTTAAACTAGCCAGTGTCTCTTAAGAGAGATTATGAGGAAGTGTTCATATTAAGGTCACAGTTCTAGGATTGTCTGTATTTTGTTTTTGCGCCTTACCATAGTAAAGCGTTCAGTTTTGCAAACCATACATATCGTTTCAGTGTCATCAGGTATCCATTGCTGCTTCGGTGGTGGCTTCTCAGGAGGCACAAATTCTTGAGGAAACAAATTCTGCTGCAGACTCCTGTCTCTGGGACTTGCAGATATGGTTACACCTGAAAATGAGCCAGGCCATGAAAAGCATGGAATGGGATTTAAGCTGTGTGATGGGGTCTTGAGTACCGGAAAACACTACACACGCTTTGCACCTCTTACAAAGAGAGCACCTCTTGCATTAGATGCTGAATAGAACCTATAGAAGAATTTGTGGTTGCTTCCTAGCTACAAATATTCTTCAGTTGTTTTGGCTTAAATTGCTTAAGTTTCTACTTATTTGTGTATAAGAACTGTAAGTGGAGCCGCTCAGAAAAAACAAGGTGTGCTATTTTCCTCAGGTCACAGAAAAAAACCTAAATTTAAGGACCACAGAACAACATCCCCAGCATATGAACTAGGGAAAATTTGCTGGGGGGGCTGATCGCTACTGGGGAATGGGCTGGGCATTGGTCAGCGGGTGGTGGGCAATTGTATTTTGCAGCACCTGTTTTTCTTGGGTTTTATTCCTCACTTTCATATATCCCTTTTCATCATCAGTATCTTCATCATTATTGTTATTGTATTAAACTTAATTTCAGTTATTAAACTGTCCTTATCTCAACCCACAGGTTTTACTCTTTTCCAGTTTTCCTTCACATCCCACTTGTGAAGGGGCTGGTGGGGGGAGTGAGTGAGCAGCTGTGTGATACTTAGGTGCTGCTGAGGTTAAACCATGGTCTTTATCTTACCAGTAAAGCTGACAGGAGATAGTTCCGATGATCCCGACTTAGATGATGCTTCACACTCCAATACCTGATTGAGACTGTCTTGGATACGTATCAGAGAATCTAGGACAAAGGGAAGAAAGGAAAAAAAAATTAGGACAACACAGGCCAATACATCTACCTGTTTTCAAGGTTAGAGGAATCCATTCACAGGAGTACATAAGAATGTCAGCACAAAACAAGACTATTCATGTAATTAAAAATTACTGTTTTCATGAAAATGAGTCCACAGAAATTAATGCAAAACTATATAAATTTCAATTACCTAAAAAACAAAGAAAGGGATCTTTATCAAAGCAATGATTACTGATAGGTACGGGAATAATGCAGCAGAGAATAAATCTCAGATGTAAAAACAACTGGTTGACACAAGATCCTCATGGCAAAAAAAGCTTCACATTGCAGTGGAAGGAACGTACATACTTTCAAATATATGGGTCATTTGGCAGGAAGAGATAGATAAGTCTGATGCTTTTGCATTAGAAAGAGCTGCATCTTTAAATCACAAAATGAAGTCAACATTTGGAAACTGGCATAATGCAAGTTGGTACCATATCTGGAGGTATAAATAGATATAGATAGGTACACATATCATTTTTAATACAGTGACATTTAAAGCACTGGACTGGATCTGTAGCACCCTCTGCTGTTCCAACCCTAAAACCTTAATAGGAGCCAAATGTAGGAGAACCAAAGACAACCTGGATGAAAAGGGATTGGCAAACCAGAAGGAAGAACCATATTGAGAATGTTAAACAGAATTACAAGTTTAAAAGTCTTCTATATGAGAAAAAAGAATAGGACTGTGGTAGGAGACAATACTACAGAAGATTCAATCCCCATTCTACTTGAGGGAAGATGCAGTTGGCTGCAGGTTTTAGAACTGCTTAAATCATCAGTGACTTCACTTTAAACAAGAATAAAATAAAATTGATCAGTATCATGCAATAAAAGAAAACCCCAAGAAGGAGCAATAGAGGAAAAGTCCAAGAAATTTTTGAAGCTGTTGGTCCTTGAAAATATCTGTTTACAAGAAAGGCAAAGACTTGAAGAACATGATCTGAGATAGAGGGAGACTGGAGGCACACATCTAAAAATGTTGTGGAATGACTGCTGAAATGATTCTGGGGGGATATCTTTCCAAAATGAAAAACAGCATTCTGATAGGCAGTCACCTGATCTCTTTTCTTTTAATGTGAAAGGGAAGTTGAGAGCTTTTTCTGCATACTTGGAAAGCAAATTGTTAATGTCTTCTACAGTAAAACCAACTTCCTGCCCAGCCAAGAGCTGATGCAGTGTCTGCACAGCGACAGCTACCCAGTCCACCTTCATATTCATGAGGAGCTGTTCCAGCATGAGCAGTGGTCTTGAAGAGAGGTGGAAGTAGTTAACACGGGAGAGCTCAGGTAGAGTCAGCAGCACCTGAGACACAAGAAAAAAGTGTATGACAAAATTATACACCTTCAAATCTGTGTTGACAAGAAACTAGCACAGTAGCTTATGCAGAGAACGGAATAACAGCTGGAGGCCAAAAAAAAAGGAGGTGGGACTTCTCAGACCCATTCCTACTTCTGTTATAAATTATTGAGTGGATTTGCAGAAATTACTTAGTTTCCACTTTCTATTCTATAAAACACTGCCTCATTTCAGAGGATATTGAAGAGTAGAAACCTTTTGTGACCCTGTGACAAGTATGTTGTAGCAGAGTAGAGCACATTTTCTTACTAAAATAAGCTTATAAAAAGCATATTAGCCCAATCCTTATCTTTCCATCATTTGAGGAAATGTTAAGAGGAGAAAATAAGAGCAATTCTCCTCTAGATAGACAGTTAATATGAACACTTTTCAAATTAAATAATGTCTTCAAAAGGAACATGTAAGGACACAGGAAGCCCAGCAGAATACTGTTGTGGCACACACTGGAGAGAGTTGCTATTTGTAGTCCTACACCAAAACAGACATTACACTATATTTTGTTTACATGTAAAGCATTCAACTAAGGTAATGTACTGATTAATGCATCTATTCCCAGGCTGAGCACAGAACCTGCAAAGACAATGGCCATCCAGAAAAAGGAGTGATACTGTCTATCTCTGGAAGGCACTTAGGAGAAACATGAAGTGTCAAAGACACCATACAGGTGGCATATGTAGGACACTTGGTGTTATTGACACAGAAAGTAAGCTGAGTATCAGCTGAGTCCCAAGTATCTTCACTTGGGACAAAGATAGCAACTGTTCTGATAAACACCACAATTTTATTTTATTCCACTCTACCCTCTTTTAGTCTGTGTGTTCCTCTACTCCCTACAACTCAAACACAAGACTGCTCTGTTCATACTGGGAGTTAGAACCACCTCATAATATGGAACTGCAAAGATGGAGAAGCGGAAGTTTTAAGGCATCTCTAACTTTCCTTTGGATCCTGAGACTCAGGACCTTAGACCTGATATGGTGAGAATGCTCTGGTAATACCTACAGACTTTTCATATTATGACAATATTATGCATTATAAAATTACTTATACAATTCTATACTGCCATTAATCCCACAGTGCAAGAGTGTTACTCACCTTGGATCCTATGTAGAGTGCCTGGATTTCATTGCGGCGTGCTGTTGTCAAACTCGCGTAGAAGTGAGCTGTGAGGTAATCAGCCAAGAAGTGAGAGGCTGCCAAGTTTGGAAGCTGGTCAAGGCACTGTTCACTGATGGCAAGGCAAATACCAGGGTCTTCAATTCTTTGTAAGAGCTACAAAAGCAAACAAAATACATTGAAACTCTATAACATTCCTGGAAGGCAGCCTTATAAAGGCAGTCCCTGACACATTATTATCCTACAATGTTCCAGCAAGCAAATTAATTGGTACAAGTGTCTTATATACATAAGGATGATTTAAAAAATCCATTTATAGACTACTCACTGCCTATTTTCTCCATTTATTAATCAAAATACTTTTAAAATTAAAGGAAGAAAAAAATTACGCAAGGAATAGGACAGAAGGAGCACTGATGAGAAGTCTTCACTTTGCTTCGAGAGTATTTTCAAAGCTATGTAGGCTGAGAGAGCATTCACTTTATTTTACACACTCTAAGTGACAGCTTCATGATTACTAAAACCAAAAGAATTAACATTTCACTAATTTGGGCACTGAAGCTCAACTGAGAAATTCATGTTATTAGTTTCACTCCTGGTTCTTCTACTTAAGCAGCACAGACACATTTCATTATTATTTTTCAAACAGAAGAAGCCTTGTATTTCCACTTACATCCATTGTAAGTGACACTAAGCTATAAAGTCCAAGAATTAGATTGCCGAGCTCAATTTTCACTTAAGTAGAACAGGGGAAAGCCAGGATCCTGAAAGCATATCTAAGCAAATAGCATCTCTTAAGGGTGGAACCAAAAAGACCATGAAAACACACACAAAGAAGGCAGGGAAAATGGTTGTCAACTTATCTGACCTGTGGATATAAGGCTGAGAGAGTCTTACTATTACCTGCAATGCTTTCTCCATGTCTCCCATCTCCAGTAAGTGGAGAAGGTGCTCATGGTGCAGGTTGATCAAGTCTTCTCTTGGGACAGGATATAAGTGTCCCCACTCCTCACACAGCTCATAATCCTAAAGAATTAAGGGGAAAAAAAAAGGTAAAAAATAAAAGGACAAATTCTGCCCTTCCTGATACAGCTGTTTCTCCCAGAGTTCTGATCAACTCCAAGAAATTCTGTAGCTTAGACTCCTCTACCATATGCAGAAAGTAAATAATTACATTGACAAGGGGGAGAAGATGATAGCCAATTTTGTCAGCCACAGTTTGCATTGAAAATACCTTCTCATCTCATGGTAAGCAAGTTGGTTTTTTAGAGAGACACTTTTAAAGCCAGCCAGATTTGCAGTGTTAGCATTTACCTAATAATCAAGGCTGTATTATGCCCATAGTAACACTATTTTAAAATCTGCAGAATTGTAAAAGAAAAGAACAGGTTTTATCTCAGTAAGAGTTATAACTTAAGAATTATTAGGTACATGTAAATCTTGACATTAAACACAGATCTGCATGTGTTTCTGCAGCACAGAACTGAGTAAAGAAATCCTTCCTCCCAAGGTAATCTCCACTGATCCATTTTTTAAGATGCTATTTCAATGAATTCATCTACTCAAAGTTTAATGTATTTTAATCCAAAAAAATTCACTTAATGATGCCTAACCTTTGCTTTCAGAATGATATTCATGACAGTCTGGGGGTCATCACTGCAGGCTTTTTTCAGATCCTGCCAGTCACTCCACAATGGTTCATTTTGCACATTCAAAATCTGAAAAAGTTAATATTAGAGTAGCACAAATTTTAAAAGCTTAATCTACAGCAATCAACAGTCTATGAAAACAGCTGAGCTGATCACTTCAAAAGCTGTTTCATAGAAAGAAAAAGTCAAAAAGGAGACCCACAATGATCTTTAGCCCTTTTCAGGGATGATGAAATGCCCTTGCACTCCAAAAAAACTATGTAATTGTCTCGGAGGCATGAGTCTACAAAGCACATTTATAAGCAAAGTTTTTTCAAAGATTATATGGCAATAAGTATGGATGTAAAAGTACACATATACTGCAGACATTGCTGGTACTAACAGAGAGACAACTACTGTCAGCAGAACCCCCACTAGACAGAGCTCAGCAAGGATGATTCCTCTTTTTGCTCTGTTTGGCTTCTCAGTCCATGCTGAACTCCAGGCCAGCCTGTCTGACTCAACTTGGGTATCTGCACTCCCTTGCAGTGAGAAGAACTGACTGCAATACAAACTCATTTGTTGGACCACTAGTCTTGTACACTGTCTGCATGTCTCTTAGATAATTATGAATTGCCATGGAAAGCTTATAGAGGCTGTAGCATTTGTATAGAATGAAAAAACAAATACTTTGCAAAACAAGCAGACTCACACAAACATTTACATCCAATCACGTTTGCAGACCTGAATGCTAATGGGAGAGTGGGACAGTTACAAAGGAAAAAGCTGAGTGTTAATTGGATACTTCATTACTTAACATGAAGTGTTTTCGATGAAAGACTTGAAAAGCTATCACGATCTAAAACAAAGGAAGGGCTAAAACTTTTCAGAGGGCAAGCATATTAGCTTCCTGCTGCCTATTTCATCTCACTGGTTACTTGAACAACGACTTTGTACCTTTTGATAAACCTGAAGTTCTTTCTTCCTGCTCTGCAGACTGGCTTTCAGTTCATTGGTTACACCCTGGTCAGAGATGCAATAAGCTAGGATTTCCAAACAGGCATCAAGGGGCCATTTGTCCAGACAGCGCAGGGCCAGCCTACTTCTCAACACGGCATTTTTTACTGGGAACAAGTATTGCCAACCATCCTTATCTGTGGAGGAAACAAAACACTAGTTTGAAATTCAGTTTCTATAATTTGGAAAATAAAAATAAATCCCTAGCCTTGCTGGATCACACCACCAAAACAGTACAGGGCTGAAAAATTTACGTAAGCATCAGATTTGTGGGAAGTAACCAAAGTTAGCATCAGATACTTACTATTCAGACTCCAAAAGGCACCTCCTTTCACAGTACACATCATCCATGCATGACAATGATACTGCTGTAAGAAATGTTCCATTAACAGTACAATGATCACTGTCTCCTGATGTATTCAGCTCTTCACATAAAAATAACACCATAGATGCATTCCAGTTCTCTTGTACTAAATTGGTTGGGATTTGCACATTTGCAAAACAGAAAGTACACCATCAGAGAAAGAAAATTCAAGATGAAGGAAGGAAAAGGATCTATTTCCGTCTCTGGATTTGCCCAAGGACCACTACTTTAGTTTCTACCTCCTGATCCAGGCTGCATTCTTCATTAAAAAGAAAAAAGATGAAGGTAAAAAAAGTCTGACTTAATCCTTCTTACCTTCAGCAGCTGCAGAGCTCAGCACAGCATCCTTCACATTGACCACTTCCTCCACATCCTGACTATACAGATCCAAGACCTTCAGAGCCCTGTCCCAATCCTTTGCAGCCAGAGTTTGTTCAAAGACTTCTGCTAATACTTTAACAGCTGTAGTGGAATGTAATCCTAGGAGAACCAGAGATATGTATATCTTGCCAGAGAATACAGTAGCCAAACTGTTACCTTCCTCTTGATTCTGAAGGGGCTCAATCATAGCAAAAAAAAATCGTTCCAATATTGGGAACTGCTTCAACAACGCCTCACACTCCTTGGAAATCTGTTCCAAACCTAAGGGCACCTCCCGTTTGCCCCGAAACTCCATCCAAGACAAACTTGATTTGTGAATTTTCTGTATATTAGATGCACTTAGACACGCCACTGTGGCCATTAGCTTCGACTGAGACTTTAGGAAGTCCAGGGAGGAGGCAGTCAGTGTGTGCTGGCTCAAGTCATTCAGAGAGGATGGGGCCTGAGTGGAGATATCCTCAGAGGTCACTGCAGAATTGTGAATAGGTATTTCAACATCTGGCAGGCACTGGTAGGCACAATGGTGTGCCAAGTTGCTGAGGTTCGTCAGAAGAGACTTTGCCTGGCTGTTTTGCCTTGCACTGCACAAGGACAGACGTTCACAGCAACAGTTAACAATAACCTGCTGCACATTCAAGTTCAGCTCTTCTTTAGCCAGGAGAGAAGAAAGTCTGTAGGATTGAAAATAGAACTGGCTTACCCAGCACAATTTACACTTACATATTTTCATAAATATTTTAAATGCTTTGAGAAACAAGCCCCCTAATATTCTTCCCAGGTACATACAGGGAAAGATTACATATCCCATTTTTACTCAGTATGAAAAAATTGCATAGAGCACAATATCAATAACTCAGGCCTTATGCTGACATTCCTTTACAGAAAAGGAACTTACTCCTCAAACACTGACTTTTACCAATGCAAACCAGGGCAAGAGTCGTGCCCGGTATTCTTAATAAGCCCTACTGGTCTATTTTTTTTTATTACATTGTTAAGCTGCAAGGGCACTCCTCTGAACTGTCACATATTCAGTTAAAAAAAAATCCACATAAATGCATCCTCACTTCACAACAGGTAGTAATTATTAAAAATATGGAGCCACTGTTTTCCCTATCAAAAAATCTTCAGATTGGTGGAGAAGCCAGTGACTAAGCCCCTCCCTACACACTAATCCTTGCAGCATCAAGTGATGAGGTGGTGAGACACAGCAGGTTGTACCTGTAGTACCTGTGATAAGTAGCCAGAGAAGAATTTAATCATGTCTGAGGTACTAAGTCAAGAACACCAAAATAACGTACAGAAGTATATTATCTGAAAAGCACCAACCTGTCAGGATGAACTTGCCTCTCAAAAACAAGATGGGAAAGCAGCTGAGATGGACTCTGCTGCAACAGTATGAAAGGGTTCCCCACTTTAACTTCTGAAGATGTATCTTAAAAAAAAATCAGAATATTTATTATAATACAAATACATTCGCTTAATACACTAACCAACTCTTATTTTAGAAACACAAACTTTAAGAGCCTGAGTCTGAAATCACTTTGAATAAACTCAGAGAGGTCTAAATTCACATTAGAGTGGTAAAATCCGGAGTAAATTGCAAGGCATTTGTGATTATGATATGCCTCTCAAATGTGGCACCACTGGTTCACATTTTACTGGACCTATTACCAAAACAGGCAGAGTGAAGATTCTTTGGACGGCCTTTAAGCAAGATCTAGATTCAAACAGTTTAGCAACTCTACTTCAAACTTGCACAAAAATTTATTTCTGGTGAGAGGTAGAGAATGTGCAGAATTCGTTTCTGAGGAGCCTCTGGATATACATTAGTTAGACCATGCTCTATTCAAGGCAGTTAGCAAAGGCAGAGGGAACTCACAGGTGTACAGCTACTTTTACAAAAGGAGTGAAACCCTGGCCACAATTGCTAAAAAGCATTTGTAGCCTCTACCAAGTTATGTCAAGTAACTCTGAACATATTCTTATAAGTTACCTTTTATCTTCCAGTACAATAAAATTTCCCCAAAACTCACACAGCCCTTAAATATTGTGCAATTTTTGGCTTTGGCAATTAGTCGGTGAGGACTGAATCATGTCCAGGCAGAAGTTACAGTTGGCACGGCAGTGATCTGAACTGAACCAGCATGTCTGTAAATGGATCTTCACCCTTTCTCCTTATTCTCTTGGGAAGGTATTCTCTGAAATCAGTGCTGTGGTATTTTACAGTAGTGCAGCTCAATTACTGTCAATTTTAAAAAACAGACAAGCATTTTTTATTCCTAGCACAGTGAGTTGTTCTGTTCTTCTGACAGCTTGAAGTGCTAATGGTGCATTCCTTTTCATGGACAACCATCATCTGCTGATTCTATGAAAAAATTCTGCCTAGTTACCTCTGCATGGCCTTCTACACATTCTTTGCTTATCCCTGTGGAGCAGAAGGGCACTCGCTGCCTCTAAAGCTGTAAAGTGTACAGTATGCTGATCCACTGCATGCAAAAACCAATCTCGCCTTACGGGGCAGTGCTAAGAATTTTTGGAGGTCAGGGGTTGTTTGTTTTGTCTAAATGGAGTGCAGAATCTGTTCTCATTTTCCTGCTGCCATCAGCTATTTTTATCTGAGCTGTGGGTGTCCTAGATGTTAAGAAACAAACTTGAAAAAATGTAATAATCAGTGGAAATCAAAAGATCTGATTACGCACAGGTAGTAGGCACGTTTGGCAAGGAACAGTTTTTGCACAATTACTTTCCAGAATCGGGCCAGTCTGGGTACCTGCACCTCAGCACAGACTTTTCTGTAGAAACCTCTTACCTAGCTCTGCATTCAGGCTTCGTAGCACAACAGCAGCCAGTGTAGTGATGTAGTCAAGGAAGGCCTTCACAAAATTTGTCTGTGTGTTGCTCTCTGGCATGGTTTGGGCATGTTGGTCAAGAGTTCTCAGCAGAAGCTGTGTTTGATTCCAAACAAGGTGCTTCTCCAGCTCTGCAGGTTTGAGAGAGCCCTGCTCCATCAAGGTGCCAAGAAGACTCCCTTTAGAGTCTAGTTGAAGAGAACAGATGTACATCCAAGATTCAAGGATTAAATGTCAAGAAGGGGGGGTGGGAGGTTGGGGAGAAAGAGAGAGAAATGCTTTAGGTTAATTTTCTCTCTGCAATTATAGATCTCAGTACAGGCATTATAATTTAATTGAAAGCAAGAGAAGTTTTCACAGCAGAATAAATCTTTAGTTCATCTAAATTGGCAACCATGACCCAAAATATATCTAGTTCTGTGTTGTTAACACTTATTTTAAAACCTAAGTGTCGACCAGTCCTTGTGTTCCACAACATTTAGCTCTTAGAGCTCACTTAAATTTTTGCTCTTTAATATTTTAAAAACACCAAAAAGCCATTTAGAAATTTGGTGAATGGGAGAAAAACAATGGAAAAAAACCACCAGCACTATATAGTGAGAGGTGTCAGAAAAAGCAACTGTGGAAGACTTCTTCTGTAAAGTTTTATGAAAGCTCTATGAAAATTAGAAGGTATTATGATATTACAAAGGTTTTATAAGTTTATCTCCATTTTCTTATTAAAAAAAAACAAAAACAAAACAGTAAGGGTACACCTATTTATCTATAAGTTGCTGTATTAAAATACACTTAAAGAATTCCTTGCTAGGACTGAAGAGAAATAGGACAAATAATAACTTCTCTGACAAGTTCAGAACTTTAGCTTTGAAAACTAATGCCCAGAATACAAGAATTACAGATAAATTTTACACTTTGCATTTATGATTTTTAAAATATATATTCATGCATATGTCAAAGAGCATTACTACTAGATTTATTGCTGTCTGGAAAGGCCAAAGCAAAAATTTAGAGCCATATATCAGTCTTTGTGATCACAAAAATAACTCACCCACAGAACATTCAACATGTGTCAGTGCTTTTAGGATTTGATCCAGATTTTGTGATAAAACAATTTCATTAGTAATACTTTCTTCAGTCAAGGCAGGGTAGCAAGCTTGCAGAAGGTCTACAATACTGCATCGAAAATGACTCCCTATTTTCTCATCTGAGAACTCTACAAAGAGGGAGAAAGAAACGGCAACTGTAACAAAGAAAGAAGTATGTTTTGCATAGAAAAAGGCCCACAGAACCAAAACTGTATTATGATACAACAAATTCAAAGTATTTCAAAGTTTATTCAGAATTGAGCTTGGGTCATCTCCCCCCTCTGTTTTTTATTTTAAATGTTAAGCTAAAAAATGGAAAGTTTGAATTTCCATTGCAACAGAAGGCAAAAATTTGATTTAAGCACATTTCAGCAGAAAGCCTTATCAGTAAAGTATACTACCTGGCTTGGATTGACCTTGTGATGTGCAGGAATAGTTGAGAATTTTACTTATTTGCTGGAGAACTGCTGGGAAACCTTTTACACCCTCAGAGTGCAGTAAGACAAAGTCAGGTCGGTGGCCTGGAACAGTCATTGTGCAAAAGTAGACAAAGTTAAAGTTAGGAGTGGAAAAAGGAGAAGCTAACATGAAAGTACAAAATGAGATTTAATTAAAACTCATGTTAGCACAAACGACGCAGCACAGAGAGACACTTTCTGTTCCCAGGCCCATATTGATAAACACAAAAATCAAAAGCCTACCCCGAGTTTCCAGGCTGTGGTACAGTCTTCTTTCTGCTGTCTCCAAAAGTTGTTTGCACGTCTTCCAAAGATGGCACTGAGTACAAGCTAGGTCAAACGCTGCCATTGCTGAAGGACTGAGGTCCTCAAGGGCTTCCCGCAGAGGATCAGTATGCTCCAGCTGGATGTTCCTGATCCAGAAGTTTTCTTGGAGAGTAGGGGCAAGACTTCCAGAAGTTGCAAGCAATTTATCAGTAACATCCGAGATGGAATAAAATACCATACCTACATGTGTCATCAAAATACACAATCACTAATTAAACAGCATAATTATGTCAGATCCTCTCATGGGTAACTATTTTTAATGCTTATAGAAAGCAGGTGGCCTGCTTCATGGACCAAACACCATAGAATGGATACAATTAATTTGGCATCAACAGCGAGTTTCAGCATCCTTAGTCTCCTTTTGACTCAAAGAACCAGCACATACTCTTCTGAACAAACACTACTAATTTTGGAAGTATTTAAATTGCTTTCTCCTGTTTTCCACTTCACCTTTTATGAGAGCAGCTCAAAAAGCCCTGTCCTTACCAGCTGCTGCTGCATTCCCAATAGCTTGCAGAGTTGAACGGCCACTGCCAGATTTCCTGATGCCTCCAGTGCCATCTGATACTTGATTCTCAATGTTGTGCTCCACTCTTGCCATTTCTCGTACTGCCTCTTGGTAACGCTCCATGAAAACTAATTCACCATAGCAAGGGGAAGTATCCAGATTAAACATCAAAGCCACCTTACAAAAATAACAAAAGATATAATTACGGAGCATGTCAAAAGAAGTTTTCAAAGGTCAGAAAACTTCAGTGGGTTTTAGAGATGAAGGAATAAAATAAAACAGGTACTTTAACTGAAAAATGTCCCCACAGACAACAAGCTGAAATGGTGGCGTTTTTTTCTAGAGAGTTTTAAGTACCTGAAAAAAAAGGACCTTAGAGACATTTTTCAATTATTTTTATAAAGCTCAGCTATTATTTGCTGCAGGGCTAGTGTTGAATTAATTTCCATAAACCACAGCTTTCAGAATGACTCTTCACAATTTCAATACACTATGTAACAAGAGAAAACTATTAAGTCTGCCCTCCAAAGTAAACTATTTTAAACAAATTCTTATTCAGCAAGGAATACCTTCTAGAAATCTAAACACAGAGTAGCTAGGCAGAGCTGTGCAAGCTCCTGTTATCAAAACAACAGAATACAAACCAAGCTTAAATTCTTTATCATCAGCGATACTGAAAATCAAGGTAACAAAGCAAAATAAAATGCTTCTTTGGCCCTGCAAGTAGGGAAAAGATGAAGTGGCAGGCTTGGCATCAAACAGAACTAATGGGTTGAGCACTAAGCTGATGTTAATGCAATGTTTAAATGATTTTAACTGCTCTGATACTTATCCATGTCACTGCTTTTTGCAGAAGATCCAATCATTTATGCACATCAAGATTTTTTTTAGAGCATCAACCCAAAAGCCACACAGACAAAGGTATGTTGTCAGGGAACAAAGAACTACAAATGTGCAGACTGTCGATTTCAAGTCTTTCTGTCCATTTTCAATACCATGAATTTAGCCTCAAAACATACCTCTGTCAAATAAATGTAATCACCACTTTGGCTCTGCTTTGGGTGAGGAATACGTTTGCATGTTTCTGCCAAGCTTACAAGTGGCAGAATGTTGTGGTTTTGAATCACTGACTAAAAAGCAGTTCAGATGCTGCTTCCTCATGAGGCTTCACATGAGCTCTTTGTGAAAGAGCTGAAACACTGTGCTTGGCTAGCTCTCATCAAACATCTGCATGCTTTGAGAACCCAGGTTTAGAGAAAAGTATTTTTAGACAAAAAGGTAAAAGACCACCTGAATCCTTGTGATGTTGGTTTGCAATATCTTTGTTCCTTTTACTTGCTTCTACTTCTGAAGTCATTCTTTCACTTGGAATGCAGATGCTTCAGCCCTATGCTTGCTAAATGCAGAAGAAGCAGGAACTTCATTCAAAAATCAAAATATACATGCAACTCATTTACCTGATGGGCTTCTAAGAAGTTTCCTCTCAAAACACAAGAAACTAACAGTGATTCTGGAGGGGAAAGCATCATAGGAATGAGGGGGTTCTGCTGATGTGGTCTAGCTCTGCTTTCCAAATCACTCGAGCCAGACACACTACTGGTACTTCCCTCTGCAAGAGAGAATTAATCAGTACATATCAAGGAAAACACATTTCATTTGATAACAGCAAAACTATCAGATAACAGCATTTCATATATTTAACACAAAAATATAGGAGCAGAGTTACAAGCAAGTTTTAGGGTAAAGAGATCAACATCTTGTTAAACACTCTTATAATATTTCACTATTTGGTCAGAACTTCCACTTTGGATCCCAGCCCAATGTAACATTGTTCAGCAGTTACATAACATGCATGCAGTGCCACGGCACTGATTCAATCTGGATAAAGGGAGAAGTCTAAAGTATTGGACCTATTAAATCAATCCAGCATGCCTAAGCATGTTTTAGGTTACATGGCTACCAGTCCACAACTTTTTTGATGGTCTGCACATCACTACATTGCATACTGTTTCCTGCAAGCCAAAGATTGCGAGAAAAATCCAATTTTCTTATTCCAGAAGAAGACATATATATTATTCTAACTAGAAAAAGTCAGCCAAAAATGGGAGCTCTGAGAAGTGAAAAGTTATAATTCTGTCCTGCATACAGCAGTAATTCACATTAACTAGTCAAGCAAATACTTCATCATGCACACTGACAAGACAAAGAAATACTACTTTTGTGGGTTAATACCTGAGGTACTGGTGCTTAGCTCACTACTTGTACCTTCTAATGACGGACTGGAAATTCCCTCTTTCCCATCTAAAACACAAACGAATCAAAACCAGCATATTAAATGCACTTTTTCCAGAAAAGGTAATTAAAACTTACTGCAAATAACAGATCGGGCAACCTCAAGAGATATTCAAGAGTATCTCACAAATCATCCACCACTGATGTCTATGGTAAATGCAAAAACTGCTGATTTGAAGAAAATGCTGGGCAAGAGATAATGTTGGGGTGGCCCATCCGACTCACATCAGGTACTTTAAAGCTTCTTATTTTGGAACATGCCACTCCAAAACCAGACATGCCTTTTAAAGGCTAAGTAGAGAAATGGTGAAGAACACAACTTTCTCCTAAGGCTGTCAATTTACACCACAAACTCCTGCAAATTCACATCCTAGATAATACTGTGATAGGAAAGAAAATATACCAGTCATTGGACATAGTGGAGAAAGGGAAAAATTGGTACTGTAGTTGAAGTCCTCCCCTGCCCCAAATCAGACTATGTATGGAAGAAATTATTTAAACAGGTGAGCTTTAGGAAAACAATCTCAATCCAAGTGGGACTGGACTAAGATACTTCAAACCAGTCAGAAAAACAACAGAAATAAATCTAGTTCTCTACTCCTCGGCCATTAAATCTAACTGCATTCAGCTGTGAGCTCAGCAAAATTATGTGCATTCCAGAGATGTCTTATCCAAATCACTTTTTCAACCTACCTGTCTTGTACCTTCGAGATCTACTCCGTTTCTTAAGGCTGGAGCACCTGATTAAAGAGCAGTATCTCCTGGAGGCTGCAAGCTGATGTTCTGTGAAAGATTTAAGCAAAAACATTACCAAATGGCCATCAACTCTTATTTGTCTGTCTTAAAGAATCTAGCAGTACATCTACATAGGCAGAACTCTGATGGCAAATCTCCAAAGGAAACACAGTTATCTCAGCTAAGAGCTCTTCTGTAGTAAAGTTTAAACCAGCACCTTGATGTAATTTTGATGCAATTCAACCAACAGTGTATTTTTCACATTCACATCCAAAGTTGCTTGGAACATACTCTACCTTCCACACATCCTTCATGAGTACTAATGGGCTCTTCCAACATAAATGATTCCAACTATACAGAAAAATATCTATAGTTTAAGTATATAAGGAGCTAGAAACAAAGCAAAAATGATAAGAATTATAATAGTAAAAGAGAGAGTTTGACTTGTTTTGCTGAAGCAACTGGGTTCTTCAGTAATACAGGGTAGTATGAACCCTGACACAGTCAACAGCTCTGCTACATGTTCCTAAAATTTCCAGACTAGGCTAAATCAACACTGTCCAGAAATGAGCTGAGACTATTTGGCTTGCACTAGATCTAACACCACCATGTGTCTTCATATCACTGCACTGTGACTTGTGACAAAGAAACGAGAGAAAGACAAGCAAACAGAAGCAGTGTGTCCACAAAGGAGAGGGAAAACAGAAACCCCAAACTTCTCACTGGCATAGAGATTGCTCCTGTTGGAGAATGGTACAAGAACCCAGTGATCTTCAACAAGGTCGCTCTCCCAGTATCTGCCAGAATGTGCTCCCTCAGTAAGATGCTCAGGGAATTTAGTCTCTGAATGAGATCACTGCCTGGACAGCTGTAAAAGAACAGTATTGATATATCAGAAAGTGCAAAATAGAAAGCCTACCTGCATTTCTGTTACTTGTCACCACCTTGAATCGCCAGTGAGCTTCAGAAAGGTATTTGGAAAACTGTAACATGCGATTTCCAAAGGCATCTCTGCTTGCAGAAAGGTTCAAGCACTCAAAAAGCTCCAGCTCTTCATGAAGCACATTACTGGAGTCCCATGGGAAAGAACTCTGAATTTCTTCCAGATGGTTGAGAAGCAACGTGAGGAAGGCATCCATGGCCACATCATCCACTAAAAATCCAGTAACATCATTGGTGAAGTGCTTAAGATCCAGGTAGCTCAGCTTAGAGGTTTCACAGCTTTTGCCACCTAACATCGAGTCACAAAGATCTCGGGTATCTGTGTGAACTGTCTGTGCAGTCAGCAGGTGCCCCTCTAACTTCTTTTCAGCCTCTATTAGGTGCTGTGGACTTTCTGAGGTGGAAGACCAACAACTAGCACTGCCTTCTACAGTCCTAGTAGTACTCTTTTTGTCAAGGTCTTCATCCTCTGCATAGTCCTCAGGTAGAAGAGTCTCAGTATGGAGATCACTGTAGGAAACAAAAAGTAAGGAGAAAATATTCTCCAAAACCTCCAGGCGCAGAGGAGCAGGAACGCTCCTTAAAAACTGCTGACACTTCAAAATGTACTGAGGAAATACTGAAGACCAATCTGTATAATTAAAAAAAAAAAAGAAAAGAACATTTACTACATTTTTCAGGGGTTCCTTTTAAGAAAATCCTAGCAGAGGAAAGTGTCCCAGTGGCTCAGACCACAGATCAAGTAAACATATGTCCAATATTTTACATTTAAAAAGGTAGTGTGCCTCCTCCCTCTGAGTAATGTCAATTATCACTTTGTTCAATTATGTGCAAATTCAGATTACACCCATTTTAGTCATTGACTCGGTTTCAGCTCTTGGAAATCAAAAGCTCTTGCAAAAGCATCCCTGCCACTACCATCCTATATCACTTTCTTTTTGCACTGTAGTTTTTGGACAATTACCTTAAATGTTTTAAAACAAGGCAGGTAGCTTATTTATATCTGTTATTACTAAAGATAACAGCATCTCGAAGAAATACCACTACGCTTGTTTGCAAAGCATCCATAGCCCACTGAATAAAACCACCATATGTACACAGGGTGCAACATTATTCCAATTCAGAGCCCAGCAATTGGAGAAGCACAAGCTACTGAACCTGAGAAAGGAGGCCAATCACCTGCTGGTTCCTCAGAAGTTGCATCCTCAGGGATATGACCAAAAAGGCTGCGTATGCAATCCTTGCACTTGGAATGCTTATGTGAATTCACACAGAGAGCATAGATAGCATACTTCATGGCACAAAACGCTCGGAAGAGCGCCAGATTGCGCTGCTGACTCAGGGTGTTAGCGAGTGTTGCTGCTGTGGAGGGAAATTAGAGCAGTGAGGGGGTAGGATGTAGACAAGAAAAGTTAATTTTCTCCTGCAGTTCCTGCACAGCAATATCTATCCAGTCTTTCTTCTTCAGTGTCACTTCCACCTCATCTTTGATCTATCTCACTGTTAATTTTAGAAAAAAAGACCAAACAACCCAACCCACAACAGATGGGCACAGAAAAGTCAGGTCTGGATACCTTTCTAAAAAGAAAATTTTCTCTGAATTTGTGTAACAGGGCCTGGTTACAGCACAGAATGACCAAAATCTGCTCATAACGAGTCTCATTAGAAGTATGCGGTTAAGCTATAACGCTTCATTTACAACAGAGGGACAAACCCTCTGTCACTTCAGCATCTTAGAATTCTGTGTTCTAGTACACAGTAGATAAGTAGGGAGACAGTGTAGACTGGCTATGATCATCGTAAGAATAGACTACCACCACTGCTACAGATTTGTGCTAATAAACAGGTATCACAGTTGATCCTACCCACAATGGCTGGCCATAGAGATCAAATACAATCTGCAATCGATTCAAGAAAAAGTACAGTCCCACAAATCTCCTTCACACATTTATGCTAAAGGTGACTTAGAGAAGTACTGCACTTCTCCCTTTTTTTGAGGGAAAGTATCACATGCCAGACATGATCCCTTAGTACAACAGAACAGCAGAACTGCAAATTATGTAAAAGTCACATCATCATCCCCTTCACCCAGTCACACAATGTAGTGTCATATGTTCTGTTATGAATTATCCAACTACTGTACAAAGGTTAAAAAAGACAAAAAGCCCACAACAGACAAACAAACAAAAGACAACCACACACAATCACACAGGGTGCTAAATTAGTGCTTGGAATCCACTCTCCTGTATTCTTATACAAGGGGTAGACTGTCCCTCCGCCTACTGTCATACAGGAAAAGCATTAGCCAAGTTTTTTTAAATGAAGCACGAGCATGAAGCACAATGTACTGATAATGTCCACATTCAAACCCTGGGACTGAACAGCATTACTTAAACTAGAAAGTGTTTCAGCACTGTCCTCCACAAGGTTTGAGCATGACTGCAAAAAAAAGCACCAGTCTGAACACTTCTGAAAACTACAGAGCAGCCAAGACAAAATGACTGAGACCACAGTTGGAAACCATTATTCCCTATCACTGTCATTCTAAACAGCGACAACGGTGGAAAGTATAGACAGAACTGAGGAAACATCCAAGTATGAATCCTTTGCAGAACCCACATGGCCATGGAAATCCTACAGTTCACCAGCAGCTTGACATTGATATGTAGACACCCAACAAGCTCTCAATACCAGTGTCTTAAGAGGACTTCAGGCAGGTAAAGCCTGATATTTGACAATCCTCTAAAATAGAGAAATAGCTAGCTGGAGATACTACAAGATACACACTGGTAATAAAAAATAAGTTTAATACACTTTTGCTTCACATGTGGAAAGACTTGGATGCAGTGAGTCTCTGTCAGTATTTCCATCTAAATGAATCCTTTTCATTGTACCAATACTGAAGAACTGTTCTTTAACGATAAGCACTTTTCTTCCTATGCCAGAAATTCTAACACCTTATTCTTGAATACTGTAACTCATGAGGAAATTGCTGTCCACCATTTCTTTTGTTAGTGTGACTGATCAAAGCCAGTGTTACCCATGGCCTGAACACAAGTGTCTACCAATACCACTACTTTGGTTACAGTAATGCAGCTGACAGATGTCTGTGAGAAAGAAGGGGAAGATGAGGAAGTATGTGGAGACCTGTTAACACTACCATGTCAGATGAATCAAAACTTTATGACTCCTCTCTTCCTTTTAAGTTTTGAAATAGATTATTTTAAAGGAGATTCTAATAGACTGTGTTTATAGAATTATCTGAATTTTGCAATAATCACTGAGTTGAAAAGAGAAGGAGGACTTATCTTCCATTAATTAGTTCCATAAATTACTGTGATACAAAAAAAAGAGAAACCACAGCCAGAGTTATTTTGCTACAGTCATGCAGCTCCCAGAAGATATGATGGGACTGCCTCTTCCTCTTTTTGAAGTTTTGACAGAATTTAAGCAGAAGAGAAATAAAATGTAAGAACTGGTTAAAAAAACCCAAAACCAACACCAGCAGCAACAAAATAATTTCAAAAAGCAGGACACTGAAAATTAAGATCTATATAGAGTCTTAATCATTACATCTTTTGAGACTATTCAAGACAACTGTCATGATAATTTTAACACCAAAACCCGTAAAAGTAGAACTGGGAACCAACATCACAACAATATGATACTGGAAGGAGACAAAACTGCTTCCCACTAGGCAACCTGGAAAAATCTGTGCAAGATCCATCACTGAGAGCTCTCTACACAACTCGGGTTGAAATTACACATGTACAAATCCCAAACCATAGAAGGAATAAGGCACAAAAAATTGCAGCTTCTTAGGTTCTAGTACACACAGGAAGACTGAGCTTCTACATCATTATTTAGAGGTCCTAAGAGAAAACAGCCTTAAAATAGCAGCAGCTGAACACTGATACAGGCTGCAATCAAGATTGTCCAGGGAGAGTCACTTCTAAGTGAACTAACGTGTTTAGTAATCTCAGGTATTTTAGGCACCCAAGTAGAACACGGGAAGGTGAGAGAAGTGAGGCAGGAGTTATGTAAACACAGCCCGTAGGTAAGCCTTACTGATTTAAATATTGAAGTAAAGTTGGTAGCACTTATTATTAGAAGAAAGAAAAAACTTTTTTGTATCTTTCAAAAATGAAGATGTTGTAGTATGAGATATTGTCTATTTCATCTGGTTTTGCCCTTTGATTTTAAATTTAAGTGCAGAAGTGACTGAAATCCAAACCATACATATACACTTCAAACTAAAGGTATTACACAGTATAGAAGTTACAATGAGCAGCACGTTTTAGGAACACGTGCAAAGTCTTGTTACCATTTTGAAGCACTTTCAGAGATCTGTGAGATCTCATAACTCCTTCTTGGGAGACAATTTACTCCCTAAAAGAATTCTAAAATAATTTCCACATACTCTCTAGATTTCTTCTCCAAAACAGCTGACAAGCAGTATCTTACACAGTCACAGAAGCAGGTCAAAAGAACAGATTCTTCCTGGCAGAAATACTGAGCATACACACTCGATGGATTGGGAGTTTTCTGTGTTCTCATGACCCTACACATTTACCCTGCACATTTACCCTGGTCTCTAGCAGGAACCTTTTGAAGAAGCTCAATAACATCGTCTTCATTCAGTGCCAGAAGATTAGTGAGATGATGCAGAGAGTACACCGCAGTGTGGCAATCCAGACTGTGCAAGTGTTGCAAAAGAACCTTCCTTGGGACAGTAATACTAGAAGAGAGAACAAAGAGGTGGCACAGATTTAGATCTCAGTCAAGTTTAAAGACGTAACTACCACTCTAATTCTGACTGAACCAAACTATTGCAGTTAAAAAGAAAAACAAAGAGCATAACTGCAGCCCATGAAGCAATTTCAAGCCTTTGTGATATAGAATCACTGTCAGATGATTAGCCAAGAAAATAACACCTTTTCTATTTGCATACATAAACTAATAGGTAGATTTGGCAAGACAGTTTGGAAAAAGCCTTTCTCATCACTTTACCTGTTTTGCTGCATGCACCATTCAAGAACTTCCACATGAGCCCACAGCCCATCACAAAAATCTTTCAATACTGAATCATTGCACAGATCCTAAATGGAAAGACAAATAAAAGAACCTCTTTACAACAAATCCCTCAATCAGACAGCAGAACCAAGCCTGTGTCACATATGGTATGTTCCTAAGACTTCTTTACCCAGATAATAACTTGCAAATACAGAAAATTGCCAGTTTTATTACAAAGTCAGCAAAGAAGGGCTATTCCAATGGAACATAGAGGTCAGTCAGCCTCCCCCTGACACATTTACAGACCATGGAAAGGTGGCTACATCCGTTTTCAAGATTAGCTTTCAAAATGCAAATTAATGCTTCTTAGTAACAATCCAAAAACTCTAGAACTAATCATGTACTAGAACAGATGACATACTGAGTAGCAGACAGTTATTCTCCTTTTCCATGTGCTTTTCTATTAAAGATGACTGTCTGCTAAAATCAGATCTCAAAGTTTCACTTTGCAGAGGCTTCTGAATAGACAATAACTCCCTTAAGGCAATATCAGCCTCAATCTACACTATGATCCAGCAGCACAAGGCTCATCATCTCCACACTTCTGCCATCTAAGCCATTTGCCAGCCAGAAGACTTCATCTGAAGTGCAACTACACCCTCAGAGCTGGAACCCTCTCTTCTGCACAGATGAAGGCTGCCCACAAACAAGGTGGATCTTCCACTCACAGCTCTTGTAATTTATCATTTCACTGTGAGAATAAGTATGGGGAATTTCCAAGCTACTCTGTTGCTGAACTCAGGCTAGCTGTGACCAGAGTTAGCCACTATCCAAGGATGACTCACTGGAGGAAATTACACAAAACAAAAACCCCCAGGTCTTTTCAAAACATCAACAACCATTGCTGTTTTTCTTTCTTTGTTAACAGCAAAAGCTGTAGAGTTTATGCATGAGAAACTTTCAGAGTCTCCTGTGCAATCACACTCCCTTCACAGCTGACCAAAAAGAAGGAAGGAAAGCGTCCAATTATGTTACCTACACATAACTGTAGCATCTTAGCTTTCTAAAATCCCATTTTGAGAAAGACCAACATTCTCACTGAAGACGTGGTTTTACTTATTTTTGAAACCAAATTGCATTATCTGGACTCAGACTGGGATACTGTCACTTTCTTTCACCTGAGTTTTGTGTAGAGTCCATAGCAATGCTTTTGCTGATTCCAAGCTTTGACAATGAGTCCATCCTAGCAACACCAAGAGACGGCTAAGGGGGTTGAATTCTCTCCTCAACAAACTGTTCAGGCTTGAGTAGTCTTCTCTTTTCAGTAAAGTTAATGCAGTCACCTAGAAAACAAAAGGAATAAGTATTTATTTTTCCAGAATGTAGAGACCCATAGTACACTGGCAGACTATGTAAGCAAGTAGCCATTTCAATATTAGCTTCAAAAATAGTGAAGTTCTGCATCTGGAACTTCCCTAAACTTACATTTTCCAAACCATCAGATTACTCATCAGTAAAGTTGTCTTAAGGAAAAAAACATCACTTCAAACGCTTACTAAAGAGCCAACTCACACCCACTCTACATTATCTTTACATTCCTCCTAGTGATTATGTCTCTGTCAAGGACATTATGTAGGAGACTTCTATGAGCATATTACTTCGAAGTGGAAGTATGTTCAGCCTTCAAAACTCTCATTTTAATAGTGACCACCTCTCTGCATTTTACTTTTTCTATCTATGTAAATACATTCAAATCAATAAATTTCAAATACTATTTTTCATCAGGTCTTCAAGCTCTTTAAAACATAAATTTTTAAACATAACTTATTAACATAAATTAAAACATAATCTACCATGCAAACTAATCTCACAGCCCCAAGTCTACCAGTATCAGAAAAGCAAAGCAACAAGTTCAAGGTAATGAGGTAAATTGAGTATCCAACAAAATTACAAGCAGAACACGGGACTTCTTAAATCCTGAACTTAATCTTCAGTCTGCATGAAGATGAGCTTTTCCCAAAATCTCACTAGCTGTTTTGTTCATCACACAGATGCAAGTCGGGGAATTATCACCAGTTACCCCCTTGTTCCAATTAGTCATAACCCCTGGTAAACACTGTATGAATACAGAATGCTTCTGTGCACCACCAAGATATGATCAATACAGGGACTGACTTTAGCCTCCATTGGGTTTCCCTGTTAATGATTTATGGCTGTACCAGAATCTGTTCCAGAAAGTGCTTGCTGCTGCTCAAGCAGTAGAAATAGGTTGTCTTCCAAGAAGAAGCTTCTATGGGATCTGAGAACAAACTCATCACAGTTCGCTCTGTATCCAGCTGCTCAGATGAACCTAAAAAACATCACAACATGTTTCCAGTAGAGAGGGGTACCTTTAACAGAGGCATAATTGCTACTGATTTAAACTGAGAAACACTCAACATTTTCTCAAACACTAACCAGCTGTTACATGTTAACAGCTAAGATTCTCAAGTATTGTTACTGGAAAATAAGAAGGCCAAGCAGAAAAATTTGATAAAAAGGTCAGACTGGAAACCAGGAAACTGTCTGGACAGTCATTAACATAGCAAGAGCCTGCTGAGCACAGATTGTTTGCATCAGCTCAGATCACCCTGCCTGACTTTGTTTAGCCATACACATATTCTCTGTATGTTTCATGAATTCTCTCTTTGCTCTGAGATGCTGTGCTGCTTTGCAGGGCCTTAGCAAGGACTTGTCCAGCACAGGAACTTCTCAGATCTGTGCAAAGTGAGAGTGAAGGAATGTGGATCTCCCTTTCTCTTCCCCCACGAGGAAGCATGAACTGCAGTTATTATCAGAAATGCCAGAGTTGGCCGCACTAGCCTGAACTTCCCTTCAGGAATCCCTATCAGTGAAGGGAGAAGAAAGGATACAAACCCCACTGACTTACACCTCTGTATACAGAGGTGAGCAAAAGAGGGTAGGCATTCTAGTTCTTCCTCCTTGCACACTCACCTGCCACTTTACTGTCAAGATCATGGGCATCACTTGCCATTCAGTTTCAGCTGAGATCCTCACAGAATATGCTGAGTTGGAAGGGACCCATCAGGATCATCGAGTTACAACTAAATGTACCAGTCATAGGGAGCCAGACAGAGGCTGTGAAGTTAGGGCTGGTACAAAACCAACAACTGGGCTCTGACAAGTGAGCAGGTAATCAAACTGCATCTTCTTTCCAGATGGGATATCAGCCCACTCCACATCTCCTTCCACATTCAGAAGTTTACTTTTCCAGTATTAAGGGGTTTGAACATTCTGGGATTACTGAGGTAACCAAACTGTTACTGGGCAGAAATGGAACATCCTCCAACATGGATGACCCTGAGCTGGAGTCACACGTTACATACCTAAGGACTGTCAATCTTACAAGCAAGGTCTTCATCAAGAGAAATGCTGAGCAGATTGAAATAGAGGGGTGGTAAAGGAAGTGATCAGAAAAGAAGATAGCATAGACTGCAGAAATGCAGAGAGAGAACTGGTGTTCCTATGCCAATTCCTTGCTTTAAGGATCATTTTAGCATCAACTTTCACAAGACTCTGCGGTTTATTAAGGCTCCTTAGCAAGAACACTGCCTGACTTCTTGACAACTTGCCTGTTTAATGCCTTAATGGTTTTGTTAAACAGGAAATTAAAACAAAGCAAAAAGTGAAACAAACCTTTTTGTATAGATTTTGACAACAAAAACTTTTCTCTTGTTCTTTCTGTGAGAACACTGCTATAAAGGCTTAACAGGCCATGGCTCTGTTTCCTCAGCATACAGCTTAGTAGCTTCTCCTCCCTCAGTGGGCTTCCCTCAGCCCAGCACACATCCAAGAGCTCCCTGAATAGGTGCCTTACTTCATCTGCCTGATGCTCTACATCAAAAGTCACTATACTGAGAGCAGCATAAATTGTATCTACTAGTTCTCTTTGATCTAGTCCGGCTGAAATCTCAGAACTGCCCTGGAGCCTCTGCAGAGATTTCAAGGAGTCACAAAGAAATTCAACGAAGATGTTCTGTAGAGCGCGATACTGCTGGAGTGAAGAGCTGTGTGTGCCTTGTTCCTCCTGGAAGAACTCCAGCAGGGCTTTTGCCCTCTGGGGAGCCCACACCAAAAGCTTCCGGAGAGCTGAAACAACATCCAAACTGAATTTGTGAGAGCAGTCATCTCTTCTTTTGCTGTCTGTGATGTGCTCGTTCTGGGTGCACTCAAATGCTTCAAACAGCTCCTGGTAGGGAAATAATAAAAGAGTAAGCCTTTTAGACTCCATTAATATATTAAATGAATTATTTTAAAAAATAGAAGAAACTTGAAAGCAAACAGATAAATCAATTTGGAAACACTGTACTACCTAGGAAACCCACTATTTACGGTCCACCTTATCCAATGTCCTTCCTAGAAGAGTGGTATGTCTGAATATGTAACAAAATGTAAAGAATCCTATAACACACAAGTACACTATAAGTCACAGGCAGTCCCTATGGGGTGGCTGAAGCACCTTTTAGCAATATACTGATGTAACTTCATAAGCCACTAAGAGCATAATGATTAGTGGGGTTTTTTTAATCCTACTTATCCAGATTCATACTATCTATCTGCCAACCACATCATCCTCATCAATTTTCCAAACTTGTTTAAAACTGACCAACAGATTCAGAAGCCACTTCTTTCTTAAGCACCAATAACTTTTCTTCCTAACAGAAGCATACCTACAATAGAGAACAAGGAATGGGAAAACAAGCACAAACAAAAAAAAATCCCAGTTAGCTCTCCCAATAACGGGTGGGAAGGCGAGGGACAAGCCAGTTGAATATCACTTAAGCAGCACTTGTGGCACTACTCGGGAGAGGTGGTTGGTGTGCATAAAAAAATGGGAATAGAAGTCAACAACACCCATTTTTTTTCATTTGCTGGATCAAAACATAGCTCTATCTACCAACATGCCTCTGACAGTAATTGTGACAAAGAGGTTGCTGAATCTCATGTTTCTGTGCAACGCTGGTGGACACTGTGGACAATGGTGGAATCATTCATGACCTTGGAGGTTAGATGGCAACATGCACAGACTTCATTACTCATTAACAGACTTCCAGGAGATTTACTTTAATCAACATTCAAGTTTATCTTGATTGTTTTCGTCCTGTAATTGCTAGTTCTGTATTTTTAGGAAAGTATTGAATATCTTTTCCTTATTCATATTTAAAAGTTGCCAAGAGCTTCTGAATATAATAACTTTCCATTTTCCTCTTAAAAATGGCAAACAAAAAAAAAATCTTTAAAGAGTTAGAATCTATAGGACTAGAAGCAACATCTTATGACATTTCACACACTATGTCAGGTCTAAATCTGTTGTAACTAACACCAAATTAAGGCAGTTCTATAATTAGTAATTTTCCTGATTTTCTGCTCTATACTTGCTTTTGATATTAATCCATCTTTGCATATTTCCATGCATTTCTCAAATAAATCAGTCCACATGTATTAATTAGTAATGTAAAAATGGGTCCTGGACCTCAGGGCACACATCATACCAATTACCAAACAACAACAGTGATAACAGTAGAGCATTCAAAAACTTCCAGGAACAGGGCAAAGGGGTGTGCAGGAGATGAAAATTAAGATCTCAGGAGAAAAATAAAAGAAAATAGACATAATTTAAAAATGTGCTTGCTGACTATAGTTTATTTTAGCTCACAGTGGGTTTTAGGTTTATGATTATTACAGGTGTCTATAGATATAAAACTGTGGCCAAGTAGTTGCAATCAGGACTGACGTGTTTTTGAAATACCATGTAGAAAAACCTGTGCTGCCCGCCTGCAGCCTCCACTCTGACCAGAGAAATCGCTTGCAGGCACATTGGATTAACTTCAGAAAGGGATCTGAATTACTCTTTCAACTGCCTGGAAGATTATTAACACATTAACCTCTCAGGCAGTCCAGTTAGCAAGAAGCATTAACTTTGATCCCACATTCTGCATAACTGGACATTCTGCATAACTAACAAGAAGAAACAGGGCACAGAAGTAGCTCACCTTTAGGACTTCCTCAGAAATATCCTTCTGTAGTTCTTCCAAGAACACTAAAAATTCAGTTTCTCTCTGAAGAACAACTGGAACAGTTTTCTGAAACCATATATGAGTATGGGAAAGATGTTAGTCAATAAAGCTTTTATTTATCTACATTACCATATAAATCTATCTTAGCTGTTTCATTAGCATTGTGAGGCAGAGTGAAATATTGTTCTGAAGATACCTTATTCTCAGTCAAAGGCTATTCCACAATTAGGTTCTGCTTTCACACCAGCTGATTTTATTCATCCATACGTTTGGAAACAGAGATAAGTGTCACTTTGTCAAGAATTACAAACCCATCAATTCCTCAGAACGTAAAAAAAAATATGCAAGCCTAAGTAGTGACACGGACAAATTAATTTTAAAAAAAGTACACACATCCCTCACCATCTAAAACTTATAAAAAATTGTCTGATGCCTGAGCTATTTCATTGTTAATGTGAGAAGGATGCTACACAAATGCAGAAGTTGATACACTCACGCTTTTCATTTGTATGAATGCTCAAAGCTAAAATGCCAAGTTCTGATATCTTGAAAAAGAAACCAAAACAATTTTTCTCTCCAGTGTGAAGATCAACAGTTGTTTCTTGACAAATTTGTTAAATGTAAAAGCAATGTATGTCTCCAGATACCTTGAGAACTTAGTTCCATTATAAGCAACTCGGTAGACATTTTGCACTTGGAAGGCAGCTAGAAGTCAGAGCTATAAACTGCATTTGCAAGTCAGCTAGATGTTTCTGTACCTTATTCCTGGCAAGCCATTTTTCCAGCACAAGAAGCCAAAGCCATGCTGTTCTCCATGGGCTAGAATTCTGTCCCCCTCTACAAAAGCAAGAAGCACGTACACTGGATTATACAAGGTCCAAAATTCAGGAAAACATTGTCAGAGATCATTTTGATTTTTGTATTTCTTTGTGCAAAATAAAACCAAAGATGACTAAAAAGCTGAAAACAAATCAGACAGAAAAGAATGAAGAGGAACCAGAATATTGGTGCTGCTTGCACATTAACTCAGTGATTTCTGCTGTGCAAATAACTGCTTTTAGACTGGCCAAATACCACAGGCATAGTTCTTCAAAACAATTAAATTTACTTCTGGTCTAAAGTTCAGTCTGTATAGTCCTCTTAGAGCACTTCAGCAGATTTCTCTGAAATGTGACCACTTGCCAAGCACTGCTATTTCCTGTTCTGTCTATTTTTACCCGAAAAACTGAAACTAAGTTTTAGGTCACAGCAGCCCAAGTGCAGCTCTATGCCCAAACTAAAAGTGAAGCAATGTACCAATTAAACAAAGAATCCCTCTAATTTTCTTCAGCTTTTCAAGTGCTCCAGTACTTATATACACATCCCAAAGTCTATACAGTTAGGAAACATATTCAGTACTGTCAAAGGGACTAGGAAAAAGAAAAAGGACAATATATTTTACTGTCCTTTAAAAATCTCAGCACTACTAACTAAAACCTTTAGATGTGATAGCCTATCTATCAAAGATAAAAAGATTGAAAATGCTTATGGCTGACATGGCTATTAGCAATATTCATCTAACCATGTGCACACCTTCCTCCAGACTCTTTAACTGCTGTTAATGTAAATTATTTCTTGGAACCTTTACCAAAATGCTCCACAAACTTAAATGTGAAGAAGTATAATCATCTGATTATACAGGGGGAATACTGATGTTCCCTGAAGTGCCAGAAAGTCACCTTTCATATGCATCTACTTGAAAAGCACTGACAAAACCTAACTAGGATTGAGAAAAACAAATGGCATTTCAAATTCTGGTGTGAAAAAAATAAGAAATCGACAGCATAATTTGAGTTTTTTAGAGTTTACATTTTTAGAAACTGTGAGGATTTTCAAGAGTTGGAAACAAGAGAACATTTCAAATAACTATAGGGCTCATCTTGGTGGTTCCATTTCTAAATTAACCAAAGCTCAGCATCAAAGGAACGTAATTTCAAGAGCTGTTCTTTCTCCTTCAATAAAATCTAACAAAATCAGTTCTGAAATGCTTACAAGTAGTTTTAAGCTTGTCTCAATTACCATATCAGCCACATAAATGAACACAGCTCGTTATCCCAGTGGGCTGGAAAGCCTGCTAAGTTCTTGGTCAGTGATAATGTGTCAACGTTCACATAACAGCACCACTAGACACACCGAAGGCACCTCAGCAGTGAAACAGGTGCTGCTTCCCAGATCCTACCTGGCTCCCCACAGTCAACACTAAGCTAACTGCTCCTCCTCCCTTCATACTCAAGTCTGCTCAGCCAGAGCAGTACCTTACTTACCTCACCCCCACGGGGCAAGCTACCAGAGCCTGAAGAATTGCCTCCACCTTCCCAGGGCCATCGCCGTGCCCCTGGCTCAGCTGGGGCACACAGGCCTGCGCCAGCTCCCAGTACCCATGCCGCACGCACTCGCAGAAGAACCCAAAGAGACGCTCCAGCGAGACTGCTTCTTCGCTCCCAAAAGAATGCATCTTCCCAGGACGAGGGGCAGGGGTGACACAGGCGCAGGCGATGCCGCGTTCCCTACAGGGGCAGGCGCGGCCGCCGGCGGCGCTGGGTTCTACTGCACGGCCCCGGCACCTCCGCCCCAGAGCCCCACCATCTTGGCCGCCGCCATCTTGGCCGCCGCCTCAGCTGACCGCGCCGCCGGGCGGGCACGCGGGCAAGGCGCCTGTCCAGTTGCCGCGCCGCGGAGGGATGTAAATAAATCGCCATCTTTCTTTGGGGCGCCTGACGCCGCCGCGGGAGCCCGGGCAGCGCCAGCCCCGCCCTTCCCGCTAACCCCGCCCCTCCCCGCCCACCGTCCATGCGCCAGCTCCGCCCGGGCTCGGCCTCGCCTGACCTCTGATTGGCTCCCCCCCGAAGCTCCGCCCCAGGGTTGGGACGCGGGGATCCGTGAGGGAGGGGGGCCGTCGGGGTTGCTGTGCGTCCTCCGTCGTGGGGAGATGTGTGTGGGGATGTACACTTCTGTGTACGTGTGTACAACTGTACACACCGACACAGAGAGAGAGGTGCGCATACAGGGGTATATACACCTCTCGGCGCGTACATTTATCCCTTGTATAGCTGCATAACCGTGTAGGTATACTGTATGTATACTTCACTCTGGTATATATATATACATATATATATACATATATATATATATACACACACGCATATCTATACCCACATATATACACCTATACATATATATACCTATACACATATATAGGTGTATATACCTACAGGTATATATGGGTGTATACCCCCATATGGGTGTATACACCCATATATAGGTGTTTATATACGATGTACCCACCTAGACCTGTATAGATGTATACATCTATATATAGGTGTATATATAGCTCTACAAGTTCTGTATATATTTTTATTATTATTATTTTTAGCTCATTTGAGAGAAGACAGAACTGGTATCAATAAATAAATGACTTGGGGTTTATATGTATTACATATACAAATACAGTATGTTATGCACACACACACACACACAGAATTTTAAATAGTTGTGTAAAAACGTGTAGGTACAGGTGGAGACACAGCTCCAGCCATGGCTGGCCAGGCGCTCCTGTGTGGGGCGGCCGGGCCCCCCTGCCCTCTCACCCCGTTATTTGTGAGCTCCCCCAGCGGGACGAGGTGCAGAGGGCCGTGACTCAGCTGCTGGGCTGGGTGGTGTCCAGCCGGTGTTTGGCAGAGATAAGACCCCCCCCAGCATCCTCCCTTTATTCCGGCTTTTTGTTTGCTTTTGTCCTGACGCACAAAACAAAAACTCCTCCGTGGAGTGCTGCGGCGAGGCAAGTGTAAGAGGCAGAGCGGTCATGACAGAGGAGAGGTGTGCCAAAGTAAGTGACCGAGCGAGTCCCCAGGGCTCCTGAACGGAAAATACGGGAAGGGAGCTATGTCCATGTGCATATGCTGGGACCCACCAATAAACCGCATAAGATGCTGCAGGAGTTTGTATCATTACCTCCTACGGCTCCTGAGTATTTTTCACCTGTACTGTCAACTCCACATCACCAGATAAATGGTGTGTGGGCAGTCATGCCTCTGAACTTTCTCCGGCCATGCCAGATGAGCTGTAACTTATGAGACCATGTCGTTGTCGTTCAATCTATTGAGTTCTGATACCCTGTGCCTTTAATGATGGTGCTTGCTATGGCACAGCTCTGCACAAGCAATTTCTCAACCTATACTTTCAGTCTGAGGTATTATTTTGTATCTTTTCTCTAGGCAAGGAAGGAGCTTTAGTGGGACATGGAAACTGTAAGAGGATGGACTTCATTTATCCTGGGATCTTTTATGCTTATTACCCACTCTAATTGATTTATCCAATTTGAAGTATCTCCCTACAGGCAGACTCCTTCCTTGTGTTAGACATGTCAGGTGCTTGATGCTTTTCTTTTTTTTACAAAGTTCAAAACATACCCGCAGGAGTCACCTGCCCACTTCTGCAAGGGTAAATGTACATTATTAACAATCAGCAGTAGTACTGTCATTTTTAAAGGTACTTTTTAATTAATTTCTTCCAATATTGTTCTTGTTAGGAATTAGAGGTTTATTAATATATCTGTGAAGCTGTAAAAGTAGCTGGACGTAAATATCAAAGCGGGAAAATAAATTGCATAAGGTCATCTTAGCAGAAGATACAACTAGTATATTGAAATTAGGAAATGAGGTATAGGCAAGACTTTTTTTGTCTTGAATTTATGTGTGCATGTTGTGCAGCTCTTCTAGCAAAACTGTCTGAATTTTTACCTTAGAAAACTGGAACGATAAAGCTCTTTTTATCTAAAACAGGGTCTGTTGTGCATTGCCTTGGAATATTATCAATGTTACGCAAGTTGCTAATAACGTTCAGTGTTTTTTAGCAGCTTCTTTCTAAGTGAATCTGCATAAGGAGTGATTACATGCTTCAGTGTGGTATTCTGACATTTACATTTTAAAGCCATTTCTGAAACTGAAGTCTCAAAACTTCCCTATCACTTGTTTCCAAGCTCTCTCTTTAATATTTCCATGGCAGCTATGGCCTGTATTATTTCCTCCACTGACCATCAAAGCTGTTAGAGAATTACTTGTAAAAAATGACTGTAGCTCAGATCTTTGGGTGGAGTTTGCAGCTACAGGTCTCTGTGAAAAGAACAAAAGTAGATCCACCAAGAAGCCTTAGAAAGAGTGTGATTTTCAGTCACCTGTGAGGGTGTGGTGAACATGCAGCGGCAGAGCAGCATCTCTGTTGGGTTTGCACTTTTATGGTGGAGCACAGAGGCTGCCTGGCCCGGTGTAAAGCCTGCTGGTGCCAAGTTAGCCCACCAAAATCTGGTAACGAATTCGAGCTGGCACACTAAGTTCATGCAGTCTGTGCTCTGCATCATGCTGCCACAATGCTTTTCATCTGCTGCATGGAGCACTGCAACGAGTTTTATTGTGTCATCAGACCATAGCAGCCATTGCCATCTCATCCCAGGTGTACCAGCCATCTGGGGCCCGTCCCTCGTGAGACACGTGGGCCACCACAGTTCCTGCAGTACCTGCTCTGGTCTTGGAGAGTGGCATCAGTCACCTGAAGGCAGTGCTGGCTGTTTCCAGAGCTGGGCCTCCAGGAGCCTCTGTCACACAGGTCACTCAGGTAGAGCAAGGACAGCAAACACTCCCCTTGGTGGCAGCAGTTTTGGTCGGATGCTGCCCAGGGGGGCCGTCAGTCCTGTCAGGCAGCCAGTGCCTTGTCACCAGGCACTCAGTTATGGCAGCCCTCTTGCTTCCCTCAGATACCAGAATACAGAATTTATACTGAGAGTGCAAGAAGTACTTCAGGCCAGAAACATTTTTGAGTTCTTTTGTATATGTAAAAAGAAACCCAATGTATATCAGGTGACCAAAGCAGCCGCTAAAACTTCTTTACCTGCATCGCCCACTGCAGTCATTTTTTTTCACTCTTCCCTGCAGGTGGAGCAGTATGTTGGTGAAATTAAAGGTGGCCTGAGACCAGCCATGAAACTCACAGTCATAGGCATTGTACACTCCAACCCAAAGAGGTAGGTGAAGGTACTGGTGGGGGCTTCACCATGTCATACACGCTCCTACCTATTTTCTAAATTCAGAAGCTTTCTTGGAGGTCTGTGCTCTTTGGAGGAAGAAAATCAAACAGGTTAATAATTTATGGCTTTACTTAGTTTTCCTGCACTTAGATTAAAGGTCAAGGAGGAGTTTCCTCTTTGACCTTTCTGGCTGCCCTGACAGGATTTTCTACTCCTTGCCCTTATCTAATGTGAACTGGAAGGGAGCACACAAGTGGCATTTCTCCTCCAGGAAGAGGTGCAATTCTCAACCTGCATCTTGGTTGTCTGCTGGGGGTTGGAATCAACATCATTTAAAAGCCAGTCTGACATGAAATCAACAGCTGTCTGTAGTCTTTAAAAGCATGTCATGTTCACCATGTCCTTTAACATTTCTGAAAGTTCCAGTCATTTAACTGGGTTTTTTTCAGTTTTTCGGTGACTCTGCTCTGTGATCCAGTGGATGCAAACAAAGATGTTGGGCTGTTATTTACAGTTAACTTCAGTGAGAAATCCATCACCCGAAATGCACGAATTGGTGGGAAATGGGGAAAAGAAGAGAAGACTATTCCCTACTTTCCATTTACAGCAGGCGATACGTTCAAGGTAATTTTTTGGTACTATGAATAGAGTAGAGAAAAGGAGGGGAGAAAGGCTGAAGGCTATGTGACCAAAAATAGCTAACTACTGACATTGCCAGGTTAGTCTAGTATGGCACAAACAGCAACAGTTCAAGCCCTGATGGGAGAGATGCATTCCTTTCTCTAATCTTAGTGAGAGTACTCCCTGCAAGGAGCTTTGCAGTATCATCTCAGCAGAGGGTAGGTTATTTATTAGGGGATTTCAGAAGAAATGGTAGACGCTGTACTTTGCTCTCCCCATAACAATTGGAGAAGTCCATGCTGGTGAAATCAACCCTGCTGCTGACCTCTAACACCCTCCCCTGTCATTTTCCATTGCAGATGGAGCTCTTATGTGAACACCAGCAAATACGAGTCCTGCTTGATGGACGGCAGCTCTGTGACTTCACTCACCGCATTCAGCCTCTGAACTTGGTTAAAGTTTTGCAGATCTCAGGGGACATCAAGCTTACCAAAGTGGCTTGAAAAGAGGAGACCTCAATATCACCAGGGAACAGAGGAAAATGTACTTTTTCTTGTCTGAGAAATGTTCTATCTCTTTCCTCTGGATGATTCTGGAGAGTGGGAACTATATTTTTTTAATTTGCTGATGTGTTTGAGATATAAGCTTTTTTTTCTCATACACAGTCAGCAATTGCAGAGCTATGGCTAGTCTGGGTAAATCTGAGACTTGTTGCTGAGATACACTTTTGGCCTCCCAAACTGCAAGATTTGTGATGCTGTGCAGTATGTCACATCCTTATGATTCCTTAACCTCCCATGCATGCCAGGTGACAGAGCTCAGTCCTCTGCAGTGAGGTGGCTGCTAGCCTTGTGACTAGAACTGGGCATTATGCAGGTAATGGGACTGAGAAAAGAGAAGCAGGAGATTTTCTTGTAAGTCAATAAGGAAATCTGATGGTCCCCAGCAAGGCTCACATTGTCAGGAGGGAATTGCTTTTTCTGGAAGCTCTGCTCAATCAACACAAAGCCATTTGGGCTTCCGAGTACAGAGTAATAAATTCCTTATCAACATCCCTGCCTCTTCCAGGTAGCTTTTCCTGAGCTGAAGGGTTTCAACAGCTGTGGATTTCAGTCTTCTCTGGACCAGGTCTAGGAAATGTGTCTGTAGCTGAAACTGCATTGCCCACTTTTGTATCTAATTAAAACTGCATCTTTGCTGGCAAACTTCTTGAAATAAACTCTGTTAAATATTTGAACACATGTAAGCATTGTGCTGTTATTTTATTGCTGTAGCTTTTGAAGAAAGTCCTACATACATGGCTATTCTAATAAATATATAAGCATATATCATATGCTGCCTTTGGTGATGAGACTTTTTTTAGTACACAACTTGGAGAACGTAAAATCTGCAAAGAGATGGAACTGTGGACAGAGAGCTATCAAATTCCTCTGTGACTTCAGGGAAGATATAGCATGTTGTCTTCAGAGGGCTTTTGAAGGCTCTGAAGAGTTTGGCTGTCAGATACAGGTACTAAGATAAAACTAGGAATTTTATGAAAATAGTATATCAGGTGTCCTACATTCCATTTTACCCTCTGGTGTCTCAGTTTATGTATAAATCTAAAATTACAGTGAATGAAACCATTATTTTTCATATACTCAAACTGTCCTCTGAGAAAAATCCTATCTCTAAAGAGCACAGGATATTCAAATGCACTGGTTTTGGGGTTTGTTTTTTTTAGTATTTAATGATATCAAAGACAAGTTTAGTAGACAAATAATGGAAGAACTAATGACCTAAGATAGAAAAAGCAATAGCCATATCTGCTACTGTAATTCTCAGTCCAAATGGTTCTCCAACATAAATGAACTTATGATGATAATCAAAGGAAAAGTCTCACTTTTATAGCTGAGTGATTTCTTCCCATATATTCAGTAGCAGCAATTGTCTGGAACTGCTACTGGTCTGATTTGATACTCAGGATCTTGTACTGCTCTGGTATCATTACCAGCACAAGAGCAATCTATATAGTGGAGAGGAAGATGCTTTGGGTTTTTCAAGTCTAACAGAAAGCCAAACAGTAAAGCAGATGGATGGACAGACAGATCCCTTGTTTGTTTTGCAGCACTGATTATCCTGGCAGCTGGACTGTGGCTTAGCACAAGATTCGTGTGGTATACCAAGAAAGGCAGCCTCCGACATCAGCACCTTTCATGACTTTGATGTTTCAGTCTTAACTTATTAATTTATGAGCTCCTTTATAGAGGGGAAATGAGCAAGATATTTCTGCTTTAAGATAAAGCACAATGTGGATCTGTCAGGTATAAACTGAATATTTGTACAAAAGATTCTTTTCTTCTATCTTGGAATATTGTATCTCATCATTTCATTGTAAAGCCCCATTTGTCTGTATCCACCTATTGTCTTTTGTCTCTTTGTTAGATGGTAAATTCTTGGTGGAGAATTATTCTGAGTCTATATGACTTTAAGACACCTAGGATGCTGGTCTACCAGGAATTGCTAAGTGTTATGATAATTCAAATAACAGAAATAGACTATCAAGGGGATAACAATACTCCCAGAAAATGAGAGCAGAAAACTTGGTCACAAATGTGATTTGTCATTTGGCATGGAGTCCACGTTACTCATGTCAGTGGTTTGATTGCCTCAATCCACTGCACTCGCTCAGCCTTGGAGCTGGCCTGGATATAATAATGAATGTCATTTTTGGTGATGATTTTGAAGAGATTGCCTTGCACATTGCCCTTCACTCCTGCAGAGAAAAAAAAAATCAGGACAGTACACAGAGAAAGGTTTTCTGGAAAATATGAAGTTTCATAGGGAAGAATTTAAACTTAGTGAATTAAGCAATCAAATCTTTTCTTTTTGTTATGGATAAGACCTCTAAAGCTCTTGCATCTTTGATTTCTTTCTGCAAAATCCCTGGAAGTGTTCAAGGCCAGGTTGCATAGGGCTTTGAGCAAACTGCTTTAGAGGAAGATGACCTTGTCCGTGGCAGGGGAGTTGGAACAAGATGATTGCTGGGGTCCTTCCAACCCCAACCATTTGATGATTCTGTGATTCCATGAAAATAGATATAGTACAGACGTTCCTGCCATAGATTGTATGAACTACTGTGCACTAGGCAACATATGTATAGTAGTCTCTCTTTAGATGGAGACTATTACTCGAGTTATACACTGGAGGGATGAACTCCCTACCAGTTTGTACAGTAGATAGATTTGCTCCTGCCCATATTTGGGTTCCTCCTAGCAGGGAAATCTATTGTCTATCATGTCCCCCTGCTCCAGACCAAAGCTTTTTTAGACCTTCTCTTTAAAAGATGTTCAGTATTTGAGATCCTCATATTGTTCTTGCTCTCATAAAATAAATTGCTTTCACAGCAGAAACACTCATCTGCGAGGCCAAGGTTTTAGACAACTGCCTAAGCTAAGCATATGCTCTTGCAGAACTGTTTTTTGTATTGCTGTGTTTATGTCTCCCCTACATTTGGATTCTAGCAGATCAAAAAGGAAGAGGTAATAGCATAAGCAGAGAGGACATGCAGAAAAGCGATGGCATCAGAGGATGCCTCAAAACTTTGAGTTAAACAACATCCAGAATGAAGGTGTTTCCTCTTTGTTTGTTAACTCTGAAATATTAATCAGTGTCTTAGGACTGTCTCAGAGGTCATATAACTAAGAAAAGCCCATCAAAAGCCCATAAAACCTTGGAAACGCCCAAAGTATGTGGAAATAATGCTAAAAAAAGTCCCCTTTGGTGTGGACAACCCAGCAGCACAGGGATTTGTGACATGCCTCTTCTCCTGCTTGTGAAGGGAAATGAAGGGCCAGCACACTTGTGTGTACAAACAGCCATACACAATGACAATACCTAAAGACTGTATTGCTGTATCACAAATATATATGTAAAAAAGTTTAGAGGCTCGTGCTTACCTGCTGGGACTCCGTTGTCCTCTAGAGCTGAGACAAGACAGCCTCGGAGGGAGAATCCACCGACTGGCTTGTTTTCTTCCTGCAAAGAAAAGGGAAACAAGACTTAGCTAGAAAATATCATTAGAATAACTTCTCAGAGCACATACATTATTTTTAGGAAGTTGGGGATGTAATGCCAGTCCTTCCACGTATGACACATCCATGTCACAAAAGAAGTCAATTAGAACATATAATTAAAAGCATTACTATATTGTTTTAGTCGTAGATGTTTATCTGATGTAGCTGGGCATGGGGGAGATCAGTTAAAAGCACAAGGGTAGGCAATCACGTTTCAAATTTATGTATAGTTTTATCAACAACACACATTGAATATTATATATATATTTCTGCAAGTTTTTAGCTTGCTGCTTTTTGTGAGACTGTATGGGAAAAATCTGACTGTTTTCGCTAGTTGGCTGGTGCTCGTTTCTTGCCTTCAGGTTCTGCAGTTTGAGTTTATAGTACGATAAGGATGAGTTCCAGTGGGAAAAAAACCCACAGAGGAACAGGCAGTGTAGTACCCTATGCATCTGGGTTGCTCATATTGATTGTTATATCCATGAAAATAAATTCTACTATTCCATGGGCAAGTTTAAAACTGAGTAGTAGAAATTCCTATAAATACTTTGTCATCAAGGAGACCCTATTCAATGTTAGAATAAGAATGTAAAAAATCCCGGTACCAGTATGACCCTCAAGTGGTGGGATATCAGCCCAGAAAGATCACATCCCAGGAAGAATCCCTGCAGGACCATGGTCCCAGACTGTGTGGGTGCAGCAAAAGACCAATTACAAAAAGACTTCTACCCCTTGGCTAAAGAAAAGGAATCTCACTGTGAAAAAGACAGGATGGAAGATGCAAGATACAAAATCCTACAAGGTCAACCTCCTAGGGTAAGGCCAGAGAGGTCTAATTCTCCAGGAAATGGACAGAGGAACCCAGAAAGAGATCTGTATGAGAGAAATATTTGCAGCATAACTGTATTTTCATTATAATATTTAGGTCTTCAAGAGGATTTCTAGGGGTGCTAACTTCCCACTCACGTACCTTAGTGGGGTCATAGTAGTGCAAAAAAGCAGGATCAGCTCTCAAAACAAATCTCCTCACCTTCCAGTTTTTCCTCTTGTGCCCCTGCAAAATGGAAGAATTAAAGTTACCACCTCCTGAAATGGCCATTTTCCTGCAGGCTGTAGGAGAGACATAAATATGTACCAAAAAAAGAGCTTTTGGAGCCAACAGAGAAAAATCTTTCCTGACATCTTAGTAGTTCCCAGAATTTTCTGCTTATCTTCCTTCTTCACACATGGATAATTCCTTCCTCTCTTCCTTCCCTGCGCTGAGAACTAAGAAAGCAAAGTGACAGGACCAAATGAATATATCCCTGATTTCTGCTTTTAATATTAAATATGGGTCTCAGATTAAAAACTCATACTGTGTTTGCTCAGAAGGGATTATGTCAGATCCTTTTGCAGCTCTGGTTTTGAGGTTCTGGGGGCTGCCCCTTGCTGCTGCTGACCATGGGAAGAAGCTCCTGGACAGCTCTCATGTCCTATGGTGATGGAGGGGCTGCCCTGCCAACTTGTGAGGATCCCCCAGTGCCCCACCAACCCTTGTGGCATGCTGGCAGCTGGAGAACGGAGGGTTGGGAAGCATCAGTGATCCAGTTTGCACAACACCAAAGTCAGAGCTCTGGGTACAAAGCTCCAGAGTAGGAATGTGGCCATACAGTGCAGGTAGGGTTCCATTTGCAGCTGGCTGTGTTATGCTTTGAAACAGCACGATTACCTCTCATCTTGTTCACAGCAAGGGTCAGAAATTAAATCTTGCAGACCAATCCTTTAAACAATTATTGCCAACAGATTTCACCACCACCAGAGCACCCACATGTACAAGAGTGACTGCCCACAGGTAAATATCCACTTCATAGAAAAGTCAAACTACTCAGCTTTGAAATTTGTCTGCGGCCAGCAAAGAATCGTCACTGCTCACACTACCCAGACGGGATATGTTAAACCAGAGGAACAGTGGCTCTGCATCAAAGTGAATGTAACGCCTCTGGTATGATTTGGAGTTTATGTGGGACTTTTGCTTCTGATACTGTTTTGTACCTTTCAGTATACACTCAATATACACGGAATATCCAATTAATCTTGCCTAAGCAGCAGGTTCCATACCTCACTTCTTTAAAACTAGATCCTCTTCACTGCATGATCTCTAGTAGTAGTTCTGACAGGCAAGCTAGTTCTACTGGCCACCACTCTTCAGCCTGGCTTGTGTAAATCACATTTATTCTCTAAGAAACCCTACTAGCTGTCATTTTTTCTGTTTCCCAGTGCAGGTTCAAAGACTGTGCTTACCTGTTTCATTAAGAATCCTTGCTTCACAATTGTGCCGCTTAATTCAGAGATGTTAAATTGTACCTCTTCCTTGGAACTGGTACTTTTCTTACTGTTCTCAGCCTGCAGATAGGGTAAAGATGGTTTCATTTTTTTTTTTTTAATCTAAACACACTTTTAAGTACAAAATTCTGCATTTTATTTTCCTTGAGCCGTTTTTAGCCCATATTTCCTGAGCTAATTCTACTCCATAGCTCTGCTGCTAAGCCTTGTAGTCCCAAGATTAACAAGCACGTGTACATGCATTGTGACCCTGAGTTGAAGCAGAACTGCAGCATGGCCTCCGATACATGCAGACACAGCACTGCACTCCAGGGACACACCCCTTTTAATGCCCAATTATGTAATTTGTAGATCCCTCCATAACCATGTAGCTACTTGCCTCCAGCAAATGTGCCAGTGTTAGTACTACTAACAGCCTAGAGATGATCCTTCTGCATATTTACTTTCTCAGCCTGCATATTTTGCCTTTGGTTGCAAGCTCTGTGTGTCCTCTTCACCACTGTTTCAAATCAAGCATGTGACAGGGGGCAGAGGATATGCTTCTGTTGGCAGTTGCATCACTTACAAACATGTACAGTGCGGTGGAGTCATCAAGGAATTTCTCAGAGGGGTCGCTGAAGCGCATGGCCTCAGTGCTGCGGGTTCCCACAGGCCTGATGAAGTTCTCATCCATCAGCATGGATGCCAAGGTGACAGCCTCGAATCGTGACACAGCAAAGTTATTGGAAATGAGCCAGTCCACCAGGGCAGAACCTGCAGAAAGAAAGGCAGCTTTCATACCAACACAGTGTGCTCTTCTGAGGCAAGGCAGATGGTCTCCTGCCACATGTTTTCACTTGCTAAAACATTTTGACACCATCACAAAGGCTGTCAATGAAGTGTGAGGTTGTCCTTGTGTGGGGTCCTATGAGCGCTTCCATATATCCAAAGAGCCAGAGAGAAAGGTGTTGGAGAGCTTGGCTGCACCACCGGGCCACAACTGATCCCACTTTGAAAGACAGGATAGTAGCTCCCTTGCCTCTACAGTGTGGCATGTCAGATGTGAGGTGGCTCTTTGCCTGCAGTAGGTGTACCTGTGAAGGTCTCTTTATATCTGTTGCCTTGATCCAAGTTGCGGGTCAGTTTAATTCCAGTATTGCTGTCATACATTCTCTCCACTATGTCACTGTAAGCGAGAGTACAGCACATCAGTAGATGAGAAAGACAGGCAGAAATTGCCATGTACTTCTGTCAGCTCCTGGGGTGTCCTCATAATTACCCATATAAAGATGAGAAGCATTCTAGGTACTCCCCCAGAATATTTGTCCTAAATAAGTTCTAGGAAAACTTCATTCTCCCAGCAGCAGCACTAAACAAGATGCCTCACAAAGTATTTTACAATTTAAAGTACTTCAAACTGATCTATAGTCAGCCTTGATTTACCTGCTCAAGACAAATAAAATTAATGAAATTTTTCTATTTCCTAATCAGTTCTCTATTTCCTCTAGTTTAACATGAAATCTTACTCTGGATTCCAGCTACCAGCTTTGAAAGCTCACCAACATGGCATGAACAATGTCACTACCCAGTCTTTCCCTGATAATTCATCTTCTGAGGTAATACATCTCCCCAGTGAGAACATTTGCAGCTGACTAGGGAGGTCTCCAAGCCAGCAGTGAGGTGTTGGTGCAGAATCCACATACTCCCAAAAGATGATGGTCAGGAAAATGTGCATTCCCTGGCAAAAGTATGTGCAAACCTAGGACAGGGCAGCCAGTTTAGAGCATCCTGGCCACATGGGAGTGGATCAGTGCAGAGTGGAGCTTCCCTTGACCCTCCCCATCCATCAGCTCAGGTGCTTTGTGAACTAGAGCAATAGAAGGAGAAATGGCATACACTTACTGGAGGCTGATATTATCTAGCAGTTTGAAAGAGTTCTTCATTCTGTGAAGTTCTTGTACCTGTACTGGGTGACCAGCATGAATAGCTCCAGTGATGTCCAAAGCCCAGGAGTCACGCTCCTCCCTGGAGCAACATTCAAGGAAATAGTCTGTATTGGTTTTTGTCTTTAGTTTGATTAGTAGCTGTGGAGAAAGAAGTGCAAAGCAATAACATTGTTTTAGCTATTTCCCTCCTCTTGCATTTTGCTTCTTTTAGCACTGGCCAAAGAAACACAAAGAAGTCTGATCCCAGCTGAGCAGTTTAGGACAATTCTTGTTCAGAAGGATTGTGGGCACAACTCTGGGTTTGGTGGTTTTTGTGTGTTTTTGTTACCATCCCCCTCAAATCCCTGGATTTTCAATTCCAAGCATGGTTCACATCCATGGAGGTCGCAGTACTTAAGAGAGCAGACCACAGAATGGATTACTGGAGTGTGCTGCTGACTGTGGAGCTTTTTACATCCAGGTCTCAACAACTACAAACCATCCCTAGGCTCTTTCTGCCATGAGAAGTCCTGAAATAATCAGCAACTTCCAGTCATTTCCGTTCTGGCCCCATGCAGAGGAAGTCTGTATTGCCACTATCCATGGGCGAGCAGAGAAGTGCAGGAGGTACTTTACATTCCAGAGCCCTCTTGCTGTAAAATTTCTACAGCAGCAATGTGCCATTGATGAAGGAAAAGGGAGTCTGATCTGCCAGCCTGGGGGCACTCCATGAATACAGCTATGTTTTAAGGCAACTACCATAGATAATGTTTCCCCTTTTTCCCATCCTCAGCTTTTATTGAACTGTTCATATCCTCTCTCTGCACACTGTTGGGCTGATGCATTTGCATTTTTTTCAATGAACTGTGTGCACAGGAATAGTGATTTTTTTTTTTTTTGGGGGGTTTTTTTGTTAATGACTGTGACTCACATTTGGGCACAGGGAAGAGCAAAGACATAAAGAGGGGGTTCATTGCCTGTCTGGGTTACATTGCTAATGGTAGCTTGCTTTTAGCTGGGCCAAATTCTGAAAGCACCCCAGTGGCATGGTTGCAGTAATCAAAGAAGTCAGAAGGAGAGGAAAAGACTAGTGAGAAGTTAGAAAGTGAGTGACATTGAGAAGAGATACGTATTTTCAGTCATACCGGTCTGTTCTCATATTCCAGGCATGGACAGGTAATAGTGCAGCCATCCAAAAGGATCCTGCCCTTTGGAGAAGGCTCCTTCTTGCCTCCTTCAATTTTGTAATACAGCAGCTTATCCTGAAGCAGAACAAACCATCTCACTTTCCAGTTACGAACAACATGCCCCTAGAAAGGAAGAAATGCACATAGCAAACTTTAACACAAGCACAGAGAAATTACCATATTTTCTTTTTTTTCCCTTCTTTTTGTTTTGTTGTGAAAATACCATGAACTAATAGGAAACTGTATGAAAAGAAACACAAAAAGTCACCATGAGTCCTGTTCTCCCTGAAATACACGTTTTTAGTAACAAAATAGAACAGCTCCATCACTATAAAATCACAGAGCAATAGAAAAGTGCTTTGCTCTTTTTTCAGCAAGGAAAACTTCTTTGATGGCAAGAATTGTTTCTTGCAAAACTCACATGAATTATAAAGAGCTGTCATTTAGGTACACACCTGTCTGCTGACAGTACAGGCAGGAACAGGGCTAAATACAAGATGTGTGAGGGCTCTTGACAACCAATTCCTCTTTTACAGTGACCCTAGGGGAAGTCTTTTTTTTCTTCATTTTGTTGTGACTCTAGATGCCAAGTGGTTTTGCAAATGCTTTGCTTGATGAATTAGCTTTTCCTTACCTCTCCTCTTACTACTAATAAGTAGTTAATTTCTATCCTACCTGCCTCCAATCTCCTGGGCTAAAACATTCCATGTGCTACTGTTTCCTGCAAAAGAAATATGTTTTTTACCGAGAAAAGACGGAATAAAGGCTGCTGTTGAGTGCCTCCTGAGTTATATCAAAATACATACGAAACCTCCTATTTCCTCTCTGTAAACAGCCCCCAGCTCTCTTTAGTCTGGCTAAAGGATGAGCAAAACCAGCGGGGGCTGGCACTGGCAGGCTCAGTCTTGTCAGATGGTGTCAGGTCCAGCTTTGCCGTGTGAGGACCTGACTTGTGTTTCTACAGGCAGTGGAATATTACAGTCAGCAGGCAAAGCATGGGGTAGAAGAATCTCTGGCACCTGGTAGAGGGTGGGCATGGATAGAATAAAGGAAAATGTAAGGTCCAGTTGTGGCAGGAGTCGAAGCTCATTAATTATCTGTGAATGAAGGGGAAACTCAGCAATTTCCAAGTAAAGGTGGGGTAATGAGTCTCTAAAATCCAGGGCATTTTAGATCCAACGTCTTCTAGTCTATACTAAATACAATTTATCTAATTTGGGTTTGTTCTCCTTCCCTTTGCATCCTGTGTTGTAAAGTCCCTTGGACATTTTTCCTGCGTGTTCTTTGCTATGGCTCCTTTCTTTCCTTCTTGGAGATGTTCGCTGTTTCAAGAGGCTGCCTTACTTTTTTTGCTTTATCTGACTTCCACACATTGATTTTGTATTTATAATGCATTATGATACATAATTCAGTAATTTATAATCCATTTAGATCATCTCCTGGCTTCTGCTCTCTCCTTAAGAAAGCTCTGTTTTCTTTACCTGATCCCACCCCTTCCTCCTTTTTTCTCTCTGGATCCCTGGAGACCTTCTCCCTCAGTTCCCTTAGTTGCTTTCTTTGTGGTGTCTGTCCTATCAAACTGTGTGTCTCAGTGATGTTGTACAGACTGCTGGCAGTCACAGTTTAGTGTGCTGTGATAACCTATTCCTCTCATGCACTTGGTGCCTTGGCTTCCCATCTTGAATTCAGTAGTCACTTTAAGAGCCAAAAAATACAACTACAGCTCAGAAAAGAGACCAAGAGCTGGGACTGCTCTGCCCTTTCTGCATAAGGGAGGAAGGGGAATAGCCCCTTCTCCACATAGAGGATGGCTTCATGTGGCCAGTGACTGGCTGCCTGACTGGCTAGGAGCCCTGCCAGGAGAGCTCCTGACCAGGATTACCTTCGTGTTAGCACCAGAAACACTGCCACGTACTGTAGAAAAGCATTTCCCAAGGCGTGGCAAAGCTTTGAACAAACCTCTGAATCACATTTTTTGTATGAAATCAAGGACCATATTAATCATTGAGACAGGGTCATGGTACTAAGAGCAGTTTGTGTCACTTCCTAAATTGCCTTCTTGTGTCCCAGCTGTAACTGACTTGATCTTATGGGGAGAAACATTGGGAAGGCTGAAATCTGTGACACCATCTTTCGGCTCTTTTCACCACGTTTTGGCTTGAGGTTGTGGAAGAAAGAAGTTATTTCAAATGCATTTTTATGTTTGCATTGCTCTGAGCCCCTTCAAAAAGGATAATCTATTCTCCATTCTCTCATATGAAATGGGAAACCTTGCTCAGCTGGATCACTAGAGAAGGCACAAGCTATCTTACGAGACTGTCAAAACATCTCCCCTCTCTCAGTCCTCCCATGGTCGCTCCCGCTGCTGCCGCGTATGTGCTCTTTGCAGAGGTGTGGCGAGGTGCAGACATGTTGGCTTTCTAACACCTGAGCAATCCTGATAGCTAATTCACTTTCCTCTGGGTAAATGCCAACACAGGGAAACTTGAGGGTGGGTAGTGAACACCTGCAGTTCATGCAGCTCCCCTGGCAGGCATCCGCACAAATCTGAAGGAGCTCCTTTCCCAGGAGAAGGCAGGAGCCCCTCAAACCCAGCACCCAACGGGTTGCCTTGCCATGAGTCCTGGCTTGATCCAGTCTCTGCTCAGGGGTTGCTTCCGCATTTGAGTAGAACCACACGAAGGGGAACCGGAGCACTTACCCGTTTGACAAGGAAGCCCTCCTTCAGGACTCCAGCTTCTTCCTGCATCATGGCCAGCAGGGAAGAGAGCAGAGCCACCGCTGAGGATTGCCTGAGCACTGGCAGCCTGTCCCTCTGCACATGATTTGTTTAAGAAAGCTCATTTTTCTTTGCTCCCCTCCTCCTTCATGTGACGTACTCTCCCTACCCTGTTTTTTCCCTCCCTCCCTATCTGTGAGACATTAGTTAAGCAGTGAGCTGGCTTATACATTACCTGCCCCCTGGGAAGTAAAACAAAGGGATGCCTAAAAAAGCTTGAAAGAATTTCACAGAATTTAGTAGAGAAAAACCTACACAGAATGCGCTGGCCAATATAAGTAGCTACATGATGACAAATCAGGTAGTGCATGGGAGGGAGAAGTAGAATTATAAAATAGCATCCCTCAAAACTTCAGACTAATCAACTTCCTTAAAATTTCTCATCTAAAAAACACATCTCAGAGGAGTTCTGCAGATCAGCATGCTGTATAACATGTGGAATATTAAGATTACAAGGAGACTTTTACAAACCTTACAGTAACTTCTGCTAGAAATTTATTTTACTGAAGAAGGACTAGAGCACCTAAAAGCCCGCTCTACTTTCAGTGACCTCTGGACATATAAACCGAGACTCTCAACCTAATACCCTAAATCAGTACATAACTGGGCTTTCCGTAAGGCAGTCTGATTCATGAGCACTGTGCAGTGACCTCTTGTACCTCCTGAGCACCTCTGAAACAGAGTGCCTTTGTGTGTCTGAATACAAGCTTAGATGTTTATTCCATTTTTGAAGACTTTGTCTTTTGTCCTGATGAAATAAACCAGTATTAGTATTTCAGACAGCACTGCTGCTCAGAAATAATTTGCTGCACTGTTAGCATTCCCTGACTTGTACTAAAATTAAGGTGATATATGTGGGCAGAGCTATGGCTGTGATAAGAAGTACAAGGTAGAATATAACAAATAAACAAAAGCACTTGTTGCTATGTAAAGAGTCCAAAGGTCAGTAAGACAAATGACTCAAATATTACGGGGCACATTTTCATGCACCAAGGAAAAGGAACAAACAAATAATTTCTTTATCTCTATGGCATTTTTATAATTTTTAGTAAGGAATAGCAAGACACGGAAGAATTGAAGCTGACATCATACAGGAAACAACCCAGAGAACAGTCCTGCAGAGATCATGAGAATACAAGTGACTGAACACTACTTGAAGTTAGAAAAATTGATTGTGTATAAAGAAAAAACATGCTGGCTGAGATTTCAAAAGCAGGGTGATCCATATGGAAGTTACCTACATAGCTCCTACTGTACACCCTCTGCCTCTGGGGAAAAAAGCAGTCAGCCACGATGAAACTGGCTGCATAAGTCATGGCCCAGTATGTTTATTCTTCAGTCCACCTAAAGTAAGTACAGTAAGTTTAATAGAACACTTAGAAGAGTATTTTTTGCTGCTGGTATGTAGTATTTTAAAAGTTACCAATGGAAATTTTTGTAATTAAAAAAAATATTATTTTGCCTTAAAATAAAGCAGAAATTACCTGAATGTATTTATTTTAATTGAAAAAATAATCTCTATCTGTGTGTGTATATATATATATGTGTGTACGTAAAAAGTTGTATTCAGAAGCAGAATCTTGGAAAAAAACCCTGATGCGGTAAGCAGAGAACATAAAGAAGATTATTTTCAGCTCACAATGTTCTGTACATCAGAATTAAACTGGAGAAAAAAGAAGAAAACTCAAGTCTACATATATAAGACATTACTGCTGCATGCATTTCCTGGACATGCACTTCAGCTCCAGGAATACTGTGTTCCACAGTTTGGTATTTGAGGTTTGAATTACATTGTTCAACTTGTTACTGCAGGCGATTTATTACACAGTGCTATTTCATACTGGAGAGGGCAGGTAGGAGCTTGCAGGGGGCTCTCACTCAGACAGTGATCTCAAAATTGCTCCATAACCAGTCGTTGCTGAGGATCTGACAAGCTCTTTTTCTCCAGCATGCAGACCACCCACAGCCCTGCAGACGAATCTGGGCAAAACTAAGATTAGCAACAAAGAATTCTATTGTCAAACTGGTGGTGAATGGTGAAGCAAATATTCCTTTAGCTGGTCATTAAACAATAGGTTTTGTATCAACTACCTTTTATTACCTAGAGCCTTCACTTCCTTCAATAACTCAAAGTATTTCTTCAACACTTTGCATATTTATCATACACACACACCCCTTCCCCTTCTCATTCTGTACTTAATCAAGGCTGAAAAACTGCCCTTCTATTGCTCCCTGAGGCTAAATAAACACAGATCTTGCAAGGTCATACAGTGTAAAATGAGTCAGTAGATCTGGACTGCCATATTCACACATGGGCTGGGGAGGCAAGTTCTGGCATTGAACTCCTCTGGCGGAAAAGGACATGATTCATTCCATCTGTATAAACCTAGGGAGCTCGATATCAAGTCTTCCGTGGGACTTAAAGTCATTGAAGGAGGAGTACCCATGTCCTCAGATCCATTTTAGAGTGTTTTCCACATGTCCATGTACTATTATAACAACAAGAACAGTTGACATTTTTTTCCATTCAAAGTGACCCCAAAATACTTTGTATACTATAAAATATGCATCAGAATGGCCAGGAAGAGCCAGCCAGCTTCGAGACCACAGGAAGCTAGTCAGGGTTCCAGAGGAGGGCAGGAGCAGCCAGCTCTGAGTGCAGACTATGCTATTTCAGCTGACTGACCTGGCAGACATTGCTGGTACCTCCCAGTCAGTCCTTCAAGAAGCCACGAACAGCTGATTAAGAGAACCTGACCAAAGGAAACCTCCGTTGCATGCTCTGCAATGCTCTGTGTCACATGGGGCATTGCATATACCAGCTTTTTCAAATCAGCTTCTTAAGTGCCAGGACTTTGCCCTCCAGTGTAAACTCCATTAAATATTTAATTCCTTAGTGGATTAGGGGTGAAAGATGATGAAAATAAACCACATCAAAACAAAGAATGATGAAACATTTCTAGATAAAAGTGAAAGAAAACAAGCATTCAAAAGAATTCTGATATAACAGCACTTTCAAAATCAACTGTAGAAAGGTGGAGTGTTTGGAAACAGTGGTTTAATTGTCTATGCTCTGGAACAAACAAACAAAAAAAACCTATCAGAAATTAAACCCCAAAGTTCAGATTCTACTATGAAGAACAACATGGCAGCTCCACTGCACCTAAAATAAAAAACCACAAGTAAGCAGGGCACCCCTTCTTCAGCCACTATTTCCCCTCACCAGAAACAGGATACTGGGGTGTGTGTTACTGGACTGTGAGCTGGTAACCCTGTTTAGGTTTTTTTTTTATTAATGAGTCCTTATTAGATGCTGTAAGTAAAACTCTTCCCAAGCTGTCAATCTTACAAATTAATTTGGGGTATGAAAGTCAAGCTGAGATCCTTACAATTAACACATCAAGCCAAGCCCTGTCCACAGGTATACCTGTACTTTTCCATTGACTAGTCCATTGACTACACGAGTGCAAGTGGAGATGTTGGCCTTGTGATTACAACTGAGTCAACAGGACAGCACCTAATGAGCAGCAGGAATGTGCTACCCAGCTTTAGCAACTCAACAAAGGCAGTCACACAAAACCCAGACCCTTATTTTAAGCACTTGGTAAGCAAAGGCAGTTCCACAAATAGAAAAGAGACAGGTTGAGATAGAAGGTATCATCTCAGCAACTCCAATGTCCTTAAGTGATGGAGCACAGCTGACCCCCAGCACTCCCTTGTGCACCCCTTGCTGAAAGGCCTCTGGAACACCCACCTTACACCTCCTCCTTCAAGCTTCTGCAACGCATGAGGAGGATTCACCGGGTTGTCTTTTGTATTATTTAAGCTTCTTGGTTAAAATCTGCTCAGGGGAGCAAATCAGGAGAGCCTGGTTTTACGTCAGGATAGTGAATGATTGAAATGCATTCAGTTGAACCTGCTTTGTTATTGCCCTCACCATCTTGGTCATTTTTTTCAGGCACTCAAACCTGACACAGAATTGTGCCCACCAGAGTGCTCCAGTTCTAATTAGAAAAGCTCTGGTAGCCACTGAAAAAAATTTAGCAAACTTTTGCCTAAGTTACTGACAGAAACAATGTTCACCCATTGACACGCTGAAACAGCTCTTAGAAATTGTAACAACTGTAATCCCTTGACAGCATTCCTTCCCTCCTTGGAGCACATGCGGCTAGTTTTTCAGTGCTTTTCTTTACAGCATTATTTTCCGTGCAGATCACATGGTGACAAAGTTTCAAAATACTTCGCTATTTAGTCTGAGTACCCACCTATTGCGTTTAATGGAAGTCAAATCACTATTTTAGTGAACGGGCACAGTTTGGAAGAGCTGTTCAAACAGGAAATTTACATTATCACAACAAGGCTGTCATACACAGCAGTTGAAAAGACAATTGGAGAAAATAACCATTAAAAATATATACATCCTTTGGGAATGCCTTTTGTTACCAACACCACAGAGCAATTATATTGTTTGCACTGTGGCAGTATTAAAAATTCCTATTTAAGGCTCAAAGCCTAATTTTTCATGCATTTTCCTCTAGCAGCACAAAATATTAAGAAAAAAAGGAGATGGGTAATATGCAACCTGACAATAAAAAAAAAATATAAGAACACGTTTAAAAATTTAGCAATTTGGAAAGGTTACTTAAACAAGCCCAACACTTCCACCTCAATTACCACTGACAAGGAAAACAGGATTTTTTTTTTTTAATTCCAATTTAGAAAGCATATCTTGTTTCTCTTCTTCAGAGAAGATAAACAGGTTGTTTCTAGAGTGAACAGCTCAGTCCAGTATAAATGGGATTTAGGGTAGGTAGAACTGAAGGTCACGCAGCAGTGACGTCACAAGACAGTGCTGCCCATTTTGACGTATCAGTAAGTTCATTAAAGTTCCTGCTATATTCAGCTATAGGATCAAAGTGCAAGTTTACGTAACTTTTCATTTATTAGCTATGTTTATTGGAATGGTAACAAGCTATTTTCAAACTTTTCAAGTTCTCAGTCCATAAATGCAGATGATGAAC